GTATAATTTCACAATTGTTCACTGGGTATTCGAAAACATGGTCTGAAGAATGTTTCAAAAACTTCTAATCAGCATTATAATTTTTTACAAATAAGAATACACACTAAATCAAACAGTTGATAGTATGAGTGGTTTAACGTAGGAATATTTTCCTCTATTGTTTAATGAGAAAAAGTAAATTTGCTCTTACAATAATCTCGCAGATTGTGTGCAAATCTTTGGAAGTCTCGTCTGGATACCAATAACTCGAAAATAAATGACTAATGTCACAAATGTTAAATACTGTGTCTTTCTCTAATATTGAAAAGAAGTTTATATGTTTGCATAAATCCTTTTGATTGATGTCATATGTGAGAATAAACAATCTTCTATTCCATTTTCAGGATGGTACAGCACCAGTAACATGACTGTTGCGCGTTCTGATCATACATCATCTGTTTTGAACGATGGAAAAGTGTTAATGATTGGTGGATATGTGAATAGTGCTGAGTTATATGATCCATTAACAAGTATGTGGACACCTACTGGTAATATGACTAGCGTACGATACATCTTTCCATCAACTCGATTAAATAATGGACAAGTGTTAGTTTCTGGTGGTCCTGATAATAGTGCCGAGTTATATGATCCATTAACAGGAACATGGGCAACTACAGGTAACATGACTGTTGCTCGATGTAGGCACACAGCATCATTACTAGCCACTGGCAAAGTGCTGGTAACTGGTGGAGATGCTACTGGTTGTAGTGGTACTTCTATGAATAGTGCCGAGCTATACGATCCATCAACAGGAATATGGACCAGCACTGGAAGTATGAACTATGCGCGATATCAGCACATAGCAACTGTGCTACCTAATGGAAAGGTGTTAGTTACTGCTGGTTCTCCTCCGAACAATGCTGAAATATATGATCCATCGACAGGAATTTGGACAGTGACTGGTGCTTCGAGTGATCAGCTATATTTGCATGCTGCAACTTTGTTAGACAATGGAAAAGTGTTAATCAGTGGTGGACGCAATGGTGGTACTTATTACAATACTGCTGAATTATATGATCCATTGACAGGAAATTGGACAAGGACTGGAAATATGAATACTGGCCGATATGAACACGTATTAACTGTATTACCCAATGGAAAAGTGTTAGTGACTGGTGGAATGAATGGTGCTACTTATTTGAATACTGCTGAATTATACGATCCAACAACTGAAATCTGGACAACAACTGAGAATATGAACACTCCCCGAAGTTTTCATACAGCGTTTGTGCTATCTAATGGAGAAGTGCTAGCGAGTGGTGGTTGGACCACTGGTGTTACTTCCACAAATAGTGCAGAAGTATATTATTTCGCTGAAACAGATTAACTAACAATTATCTTATGCTTACTCCTATTAATAACTTCGATTCCAAACACTATATCTTACTTTGAAAAACTGTCTGATTCAAATTATGCTCAATTGTTTTGTTTTAGGGTGTGGGTGGATGCGCGCTTGATTGAACAAGAGACACATAGGCTTACACCCTCGATCATCGACACCCAGACCTACATCCATTATAGATGTCTCCCATTAGTTTACCTTTTGTATCGCTCTCATATCTTGCATTGATAAAACCATTTGTTAAAGACGTATGTGAGTGCCAATGTAGATATCTATCGTATCTTATCGTCACTTTTTTGAGGCATTAAATAAAGTAGAGACTCACTGCATCGTATTTTACCAAACAAGCAGCTACGCAAATCATAAGTCAGACATCACCGGAACTAAGCACGATTCCTGTAAAACGCGCACGAGTAGATACGAATGTAAAATTCGAATCTCTCTTTTCCCTGGAACAGCTTCCCAATGAAACTGTTTTTCAAGTATTTGCTTATCTCAACTTGAAGGGTGTGGATGTGTGTGTGGGTGTGGGGTGTGAGTATCATACGTATATCATATTCACACCCGCACCCTCAATTAAGAGAAAAATACATGAAATATCGATTGATCTTCTAAATATTTTGTTAATATTGAAAAAAAAGAAAAGGAATCGAGAAGAACAGCATGATGATCTCTCAGTTGAAGAAGATGAAGAAAATGAAATTGAATTTGAATGAGGAATTTGTTTGTGAATAGTTCTTTTAAATAAGTATTTTATTTATTTTCGACACGAAATTTTGTTGTTCGTAAAAATAAAATCGTTGAATTTGATGAAAAAAAGAAATGAAATAATTAAATTCAAAATAATGAAAATCTAATTGATATTCATTAAAATATTTGTTTTTAATTTCAATAAAGAAATGATTTTTACAAATCTTCAAAATGAATTTTTCTTAAAAGATTTCTTCTTTTCCAAACAAAATCAAATAAACTCACTCTTCACTATTATTCTTTGGTTCAGACTATTTCTGTTTCACAATAATATGTTCATCATTCAAATATAAATTACTCCACAAATTTTGCTGAAAACGTTTTTTTATAGGAAAGTATTACACCGTCTGAATGTTTTGTTGATAGGGATGCAGCTAAAGTCAGAGTATAGGTGAGGATGAATTTACAGATGCATTAAGGATATATCAGGCATCGACACCCTCAATATGGTGTCGACGATCTACAACTGTCGATAAAATCCATTTATATGGGTGACATGATTCCTTCTATTTCATCAGATTTTTGTTACTTTTTTCGAAGACATATTTATCTTTCGTTACGAAGAACACAGTTTTCTATCAACAACATTTGATTGCACAGCACTTTAATCCATTTCATTTCATATGAATACTTTTTCTCTTTCTTTTCAACAACATTTTGTATGTATTGTAGACCTTCAATGTCCTCTTTTCAATCTTTACACATTCTTTCGAAATAAAATGCGCAGTTGAAAAAAAGAAAAAAAAGTCACATATATTGTTACTTTATAAAACAAACCAAACGAATTATTCCGCGAAAAGAACAATCAGTGACACACACAATACCACCCGAAATTTACAAACTATTTCGATTTTTTCATCTAAACAACTTCATTCGAGTGAGTTTTACATTTAAAACATTGGGATAAAGAAATGTATTCAAGTTCTGTGAGTTCTGAACTCTTGAGGATTTGTAAACCTGTAAACCAACTAGAATCGGCTGAATGCAGGAAACTTAACAGATCCACGGAGCTCAAGGAATCTTACAGGGTATGAACATAAATAATATATAGTCAGCTATTGCGTATTTACCACACATCCTCTAGATGAATTCCTGCCTACTTTTCATTTTTTCGATTCTCGGCTTTCCAAAATCCATAGCATTCTCACACGCTCTTCGGATATACACGATACCTGTGTTCGAGAATTTCGATTGTTATACAAGTTTCCTCAGTTTTAAGAGTTGCCAAAGTTGTTTAGTTTCTTTAGTTTCATGATTTCTTGATATTCTTACAACTTGCACAAACCAGTTACTTGTTCACTTTCGTGACTTATGTCAGTTTGGTGAAGTCCTTGAACATTGGAGGTTCTCTAAGTTTTATGAATTATCTTGAGTTTCGTGAGTTTGGCGGATACGTTCTGTTATCAGAGTTGATAGCATTTTATTTCATTACAATCGATAAGTGTCTTTTTGGTTGATTTATGAGTTCTGAACTCTTGAAAAGTTCAGAATTGACGAAAGGCGACTATAAGGGTATGGGTGGATGTCGGTGTGGGTGAGGGTGTGTGTCAAGTAGAGCGGTACAGTTCTAGCTTCACGTGAAGGCGAATAGAGTACACCCACACCCTTATATTGATTCTTCTTTGAATCATATTCAAGATTAATTACCATCTGAAGAGATCCTTCAGTTTAGTGAATTCCTTGGATTCATAAAATCCGAAGACTTTGTTTTACTTTGTGCAATGACTAATAGTTTTTGTTCTTTGTAGTTTATTTTTGAATCCAGAGCTTCTTAACACCTAGGAATTCACTAGATGTGGACACTGCTGTCTACAATGGAAGCGCTGTGTAGGTCTGTCTATGAGAAAGAGATAATCTATCTCAGCCACTCTTTCTAAGAAAAAACAAATCAGTTTCTTTCTCTTTCCGCGAAAAAATGAATCAGTCTCTGTCTCATTGTATCAGCAAAAATATGCATGTATCTCTGCCACTCTTTCTCAGAAAAAACAAACCAGTTTCTTTCCCTTTCCGCGAAAAGAAGAACCAGTCTCTGTTTCATTGTGTCAGTAAAAACATGCATCTGTCTCTTTGTCCCAGTAAAAGAAAAAAGTGAATTCGATACTCTCTTATTTTCTTTCTCTTATCTTCGACAGATATTTAAAGGCAAGCGCACCGTTCCAAAATGATAATATTCAATCATTACTGGCTCTTCCTTCAATTAATACTGATCGTTCAACATCGAGTCTCAGCTTTCAGTTTTGGTCAATATGCACACTCCGGTCTATTCTATCATTCTATTGGTACTGACGTCTTCAAGTTGCTATGCAAACGCACCACGAGGTGGTTCTGGCAGTATAGGTTCCGCTATTGAGAATGCTATCATCGCAAAAATACGGACTAATTGTCCTGTTCCTGTTCCCGTTCTTACTTGTCCGGCTCCTTATGAACTCTGTGGACCTGCTCCCCACACTTGTTGTACCACTGGTCCAGCTCCTCAATCTGTTTTTAGGTGTCCTACTAATTATCAGTACTGCAAACTTCTCGGTGTTGACACTTGTTGTTATCAAAACGACTGCGTTGGCATTGGTTGTACCATACCATTTTTTAGCACTGCTGTAAAAGCCACTTGTCGTTTATAATTGGCAAGATGTTAATGATTAATTAACAGTAAAATATAACGTTACGAATTTCATAATATTTATTTGGATTAAGTAATAAACACATACAATAAATCATAAGTTAATACCCACACAAAGAATAATAAATATTAAGATGAATAGGGTGGGTGTGGGTGTGGATGTAGACGTGGATGCTCTTTTAATCAAATGCAAACTCACACGTAGAACCTCACCCACGCCAACTACCCGTTCTCCAAAAAAAACGATCTTTGTTTTACAAAGAAAATTTATTAAAACTCAATTTCGTTTTCTAATTCAAACGCTGTATTGCAATTCTCGACTACAGCTTGCGATATGAAAATAAGTGACATTATTTCAAAAAATAATTTATCGAAAATGTGTTCAAATCTTAAATGATTTTATTATTATTTGTAATGAGAACAAGCACAGAATTAGTAAAGCTAAGAATCTATGTCTGATTGGCAGATGATTAGAAAAAAGTTCAAAACAGATACAGTATGAAATGCTGACTATAAATGAGATAATTTGGCGTTGACTATAAATGTTCGATCGCGTGAAACTGAACGACCATACATGGTACCGACCTGCTGGAATGGTGTACATTCGATCTCGACACAGCCCAATTCGGTAAAAATCCGACGTACTTCTTGTTCATCATCGAGAGTAAAGCGAATAATTGTTAATGCCTTTTGTCGTCGGCTTGATACGAGATCAAATGCGATGTGTGAATCCTTCGCTGACACTTGTCTGATTTGGTCAAAAATTCGTCGGACGTCTTTCTCGACAAGATATTGAAAAAAGCCTTCGGCAAGCCAGAATGTAGGTTGATCAGAATGGAAACCATGTTCAACCAATTTCGACAACCATTTATCATTGGTTAAATCGCACGCAATTTCAACGATCTTGCAATTTGCTGTTGGTGTAAGCGGTTGAAGACGTTCTAGACATTGTTGCCGATAAGCAAGCACTTGCGGTACGTCCAATAGATAGAAATTAGTGGCTGAAGAACTGTTCGTCAGAGACAATCTATAAGGACGAAAGTCACCACCACAAGCGAGTATGACAATCTGTTTAATAGTAACAGCCATTTTCGTAAGTAGATCATCCAAGTAACGAGCACGCACGACAATGTCCGTTGTGAATAATTCCACTGTTGTCTGCTCCATGTGAGAGAAGCTCTCCACACTTTCCGGACCGATCTGACCTGCGTAGACACGTGCAAATAGATCCTGGAGAAGTGGATTGGATCGGTTGGACTCGCTTGCACGAGCTGCAGCGCTCGTTAGTGATGTTCGACCGATGGGATCATCATTGACTTTCTCCGAAGAGGACGACATTCGTGGGTTACAGATATACAGAAGACTGAAGCATCGTATTCATATCTAAAACAATATATGTAACAAATATATATGTTATCAACAAATGAAAACAGAATGACAATGGTTTCTTTTCTTTTTCTCGCTTCTTATCATATGATATACGCATTCTCCATCTCTCTTTCTTTCTTTTGCACACTCACTGCCGTGGAGTATCTTTTGTTCTTCTCTTTCTTTCATTCCTTGTTTATACTTTCATCGATATCGTCCCTTCCCTATTATTTTTTTTCTATTTTCATGACCGCTGCGATATGATTAAATAGTTCGATTGTTTTTTTCTTTTTCTCGTTACTTATCAATGTATGTGTAATACAGAAAAGGAGAAAAATGTGTTGTTCTGTCTATGAAAGAGTCAATGACGTACCATAACACGAAGAAAACAATTTTGTCGAGTAGCGTCCCTAGCAACGACAAAACGAGTTGAACAGGTTAAAGGGACGATCTCTTATTCCATCCATCAAAACTTTCGATCACTTCGATCATCTAGTTTCTATTCCCTAATGGAGACGGAATAGCGGATCTAGATTTTGATTATTTTGGGCTTCTCATCAGCTAATCGGATTCAGATCTAATCTTGTACTGCTCTACCAGAATAGAAGTGTTTTAATATCTTTTTTCCTTTCTTGCATTTATTGTGTTTAAAAATGAAGTATCGAAAACAGCGAAAAACAGGAAGGATGTGGGTGTTGGTGTGGATGAGTAAAGAGAAGGTGAACCCACACTGACATCCACCCATAAATAGGAAAAGAGAATGTTTAAAGTATTTTACATCGTCACAATAACGATACCAAACTAAGGGGCAAAACCAAAGACGTAATACTGAATATATTTTTGGTTTGCCAGGCTGTTCGCTAGTATGTGGAAAAAGGTTGTAGAGTATCATCTTCTATCCAAAATTGTTATTTTCATGGAGTAGGAAGAGCATTCTTTTTTATTCTCGTTCTCTCATTAAGTATTTTTCTAAAACATATATTATGGTACCGTTTTTACCATATAAAAATAGATAGCAATATCAATCATCGGCGAGAAGATAGTTTAGTAATGGCCGAAGAAGAAAACAAGCGCATATCGAATGGATTGATGACATTCTTTATTTGGGTAGGGGGCGGCTTATCACTAACCATTTGATACATAAGCAATATACCATTCGCATACCATAGATACACACGTTTGTATATATCCGCACATATTTATATCAAGATTGGTGCAACGCTACTAATACAAGTAGGTTTGGGCGTTATTGTCTTCTGATATCTTTTATAAATCACATTCTTCGCATTACAACAAAGAAAAAAAGTATAGAAAAACATAAGTAAAGTTTAACACTTTAATAATAATATCGATTATTACTGTCAATACTAATTAGAAATTTGCCAAATTGAAGCCAATTATGAGTTGGATCTGGATTTAATATACTAAGTTTGGATTCGGATTTAGATATACTTACTTGGGCTCACTAAACTATCGAACCTGAGGGTGTGGATGTGGGTGTGAAACTTGCGTTTTTTCGTTCACTTACACCCACACCCTTTCTGTAGGAAAGTTATCAGTAATGTCTATGGTTTTTATGAGACAATTCTACCCTCCTTGTGAAAAGGTAAAGACAAAGTTAAGAATATATCTAATATTTGTTATGAAAAAAATAATAAAATATTATTCTTGTGTTTTATTCAAGCTGCATATTATATTTCGTGTTATAATATAGAGAGGAAGAAGACAAAAAACGACAGATAGCTTGATTATCGTCAACGTGTAGCAATTTTCGATCAGACAATACTATATCTTTCTTACAATTGAAGAAAGCATAGCTCTCTTAACACTAAAACAAAAATATGAAAATCAATTTGCTGCTAGCAATAATCCTTCTTCTAATTCTTCGGCCGAGTAAGTAAAAACTATCCTGTTTTTCATCATTATTTATAATCTTGTTTTGAAATTTTGCTAGCTATGGGACTAACAACCACTGATTCCAAAGTGGATAGAACAGATTCAAGTTATGGAACAGGCATTGTCAACACACAAATTTATACTATTGTTGACTACCACGGGCAACAAATCTATGTCTACAAGTCACTCTCAAATGATCCGAAAAACCTCATCTACTATTATGTTCCAGTCATGGTCCCAAAGAAGAAGCTAGACACCAGTTGGATTTGGACTTCTGGTAAAGGCGAGCTACGTCTTAATGTTATGTTTGGAAATGATGAAATTGACGATATGGCACGACACGAAATTGTGAAAACAGGAGAAACTGGAAAATTTAAAGTGGCTCCACTCATCATCGATTCGTTTTCAGCCTTCATTGTTAGTGCAAATAATAAGCCGGTGCCTGGTGTAATCCCATTTCGTAGAGTACATCCTAGTGATAAAACAATGACAATTAGATTTGAGTGTTCATCGGAGGTTACTGCTAACAAAGTCATGTCAAGTGTCATCGATGGCGATTACGATATAGAATTTGCATTTTTTTTTGCTGGTCTCAACAAAGTCTCAACAACTATGATATCAATTACTAGCAATTCATTAGAAAGTGTTCTGTCAAAAACAAAAGCTGACGGAGGAAATACAAACGCAACTTATATTCATAGAGATCAGGCCAACAAATTTGTTTCAGATTATTTGGCCAACGTTAGGAAGATGATTTACAAAGAAGATCCAAAGTCGGACACATCCAGTTTAACTGCTGGATTAAAAGAACAATTCGTTTCACTAATGCAGCAAGGTCAGTAGCTTGATATAAGTAGTTTAATCTGTTTCAAATCAGATTTTTAACCAAAACACAAATATTTGTTGCACTTTGTACCCATATTTTATTTCTTCTTTTAGCCATGGATAAGTCAACACAAACAAAATTAGATCTGAATATGTATGGTCAAGTTTGGTCTTCTACTGACTTAAATCCTGATCGTCTTACTTCAGAACTTAATAAAATGTTCACGTATAATCAGGCTGAAACGAATTATCGTAATACAAGTGATAAATACTATGACTTTCATGAACAATATGCCAAATCATTGGGGACTTCAGCAGGTTACAAAAACTCAGCTAGCATCTTTGAACTTGCATCGATAGGTATGGAAGTATCTGCATCACTTAATAAGACTGAATCGAATGCTACCGAAAAAACAACGCATGATGTTACCTCTTTGACAAACATAAAAAAATATCTTGATCAGAAGTCGATAGAAGCTGAATGGAAAGGCGAAAAGATTATACCAAAATCATTTCAAGTTTATAAACTGACAGATATTACTGACAATCTGCAAGTTGCTCTAATGGTAATAGAATTGACAGCTGAGAAAACGAACCATGCAATGATACGAACACTTAGCACATTAAATCTACCTCCGACATTTGGTGCGGTGGCACCAACAAGTGTCACTCAATCATCCACATGTATGACAGGTGAAATTCGACTATATTCAGCTAACATCGATCCGCCTTTTCCTTGGCTTTTCTGTAACGGAACTGCAATTTCACGTATTGCATATCAAAGACTCTTTTCTGTAATTGGTGAATCATTCGGAGCTGGAGATGGAAAAACAACATTCAATGTACCTGATTTTCGTGATCGTTTCCCGCTAGGTCTCAATCAAATCGAAAGTCGGGTACACGCTTGGAAAAAAGGAGGAGATAAAGAACAAACACTCACAATCGATCAAATTCCTGCTCATTACCATAGTGCTGGTTCATTAAACACTAACAATGCAGGCACGCATAAACACACGATCAATGACCCAGGCCATAATCATGGGGGTAAAACAGGTCTCAGTCGAGGCAGTTATGGTGGACACGAATGGAAAAATACTAGATCTGGCACCTTCGATAGTCGGAATAACCATTCACACGCTATTCCATTTGGTAAAACTGGAATATGGCTTTCGGATGATGGCAAACACACTCATTCAATTGAAGGGAAAACAGATTCGGTTGGTGGTGGAAAATCCCTCAGCATTATGCCACCGTATCAGACAATTGCTTACATCATTTTCACTGGAGCAACTTGTGCTTGACGAATGGTTGTGCTTGTAATCCTGCTTTTCACCGATAGCTTAATCCCTTACGGCTTCCTTTGATATCGTTATATCTTATCCCGCGGTTTGAAGAAAAACGTCCTAGTATACATAAATATATATAATCGAGAAATAAATTAATTCGTATATTTAATATATGAACTAATCTGCTACTCTAAACTATTTTGAGGTTTATTCTTTCTATACCCAAACCCGCACTCGCACCCAATCTTCCCATCCTTTTTATATTTACTAATAAATAGAGATGTTCACGATATTACAAATATCAATTACTTTTTCAATGATATTTGTATGTAGAGGATGAGTTTTAGTATTGAATATTACTTAATCAGTAAAATTTGATGTCTTTTACTGAGAATGCAATGTTGAATATTAACGATATAACATGTTATAAAAAAATATTAGAATGATAAGAAAACTGTTGATTTTAAGCTACACATATTTGTTGAGAGCGTTGTAGAAGTGAATATACAGTAAAATATTTGTTAAGTATCTTTTCTAAAAATCATTTATTATGAAAACATGAAATAATAATATAAAAAAAAAGAGTCTTAATGATAAATTCTACTTAATAAAATATAGATTTTTTCAAAGTAATTAATATTGATGTAATCTAATATCTAAAAAAAACAGTAACTAAAATTAACAAACAACTTCACATGAACTTGTTGCATCCTAAAATTTAAAAAGAAAAGGTAAGATGAATTAAAAATAGATATAGATGAATGATTTATACTTTGCATTGACAAACAAGACATTTATGAACATGCCATTTAGTACCATTTTTATGTATTTTTCTTGTATTTTGATCATAACAATGTGTACCAGTAGTTAAACGTTTATCAAATGTTGCAAACTAATTGGAAATAATTATTTAAATACAAAAACAATAAGATTTATTCTACTAACCTTTGTTAAAACATCATCAACTTGTTGACGAAGTTTTTGTAAATCTAATGTATCATCTTTTGTTATTTGTTCATCTTCTTGTTCATTTTCTTCTTTTATATCTCGTTTTTTACGTGTAACAGTATCAATTGTTGATGGTCGATAATTAGGAAATGGATCAAATGAAAGTATAGCTGGAGTATTACAAACTAAAAATAATTGTTTGAGAAAACAAAATAGAGATACGATAAAATGATCTTACTTGCATTATGTCCATCCATATTTTCTTTACAACATCCACGCCATGGTTCAAGATCAACATCATCAATATTTGAACATGATACATAATCACGTGGATACATCGCATTTAAGAAAACATTTCGTGGTATACGATCAATACGATCACCATTCTCACAAAGTACTTTAGCTAATGTTGTCTTTTGTAATGATTTCATTTGTTCAGTTGTAAAAATGCCAGTTTTTTCATGCCAATATCTATCTCCATCTCTAAGATTTTTAAATTGTTTAACAATTAAACAACGAAATAATGGTCCAACTTTAGCACCAGGTAAATTATCTTCGAGCATTCCTCCAACCCAAACATCAATATTATCAACATGTTTATAAACATCACGTAATGCAAGACGTGTTTGCTCATCTTTAATATCATTTTGTAAATCATCAAAATCATTTATTTCATTAGGTGGTAGATTACAAAATTTTCTCCATGCAGTATATGATTGTAAACCATGATCACGACTACGTTGAATATTTGCTGCAGCTAAATCAAGTGATATTGCACGTGTAACATGAAATAAACGTTCGGTTAATTCAACATTAAGAATTTGTTGAGGTAATTTAATTTTTGCTGGTACACCAAACATTCCACGTACCAGTGGATCGATACCACCTTGTTCCTTAACACGCCATGGTGAAAAAAATGCATCACGAAGAAGAAGATTTCCTTCCGGAATTGGTTCAAGACTTGAATTTAAACGATAAAATACTGGATTAATCAAACCATGACCAAAACTAAAACAAAAACAATTGTTTTTTCATTAAAACTTTTTCATTTAATTTACCGAAATGCAGCGGTAGCAAAAACATTGGCAATTGTTGGATTAACACTTCGACGATATCCTCTATATGTTCCAAGCATATTCATACCTTCATCACCAACAATATATGGTAACCAATGTTTATATGTTATTATTTGCAATTGTGCTTCAATAATTTTTCGTGTTTCTTGATAAACTTGTTCATCTGACCAATTACCATTTATTGAGCTCATACGTTTCGCTAAACGATTATGTTGTCGTACCCAAATTGTATGCATAGCAATTAAAGCCACTTGTTCATTAACTCGATGATCTATTTTATAGAAAAAATATGAATAAGATTTCTTTTTTTCAACGTTTTTCAATACCTCCGGCAAGAAAACAACCAATTTGTGATGCTTGTCGATCACGTTGACAATCAACTGGTGTATCAGTACTGAATGGAAGTAAACCTTTTGGAAATTGTGGTGTACTTTTCAAAAAAATAAATAAGAATTATTATAAATAATTTTTTTTCTTTATTTAATATACTTATGAACTCGAAGAAGACCTTTTCCTGAACTACGTTCTCTTAAATCCCAAGCATCTTGTACAGTTGAACCATAAATATTTGATGCATCAAAAAATGATGTTAATGAATTAATTTGTTCACGTCGATAGGGTAAATGAAGAAATGATGTTTCACCACTTAAACATATAGCTGCTGATCGAACAAATTCAAGACATGAACCACGTTCTTCACGTAAATGATCATCATCAGGAACACGTATTGGATAACATGGTGGTTCAAATGAACATGATGATAGACAACGTAAACTATCAGAAAAACGTGTATTACTTGTTGCTTGTACCGTTAATGACATATCATGATCTATTATATAATTTGAAATCAAAATCAATATTTTCAAATTCAATTCTTACCTTGAAATTGTCCCCATTGCATAAGCATATGAGAAAATGCTGGATCAGGTGTAATTGTTTTAGTTGCTATTAATCGTGATGAAACTTCACGTGCTGATGGTAATATATAACCATTATATAATTTACTTGCATTCCAACCACGTGGTGTATTAAAACCATTCTCATATTGTGCATGTAACCAACGTGTTAATGCTGTTAATGAAGCACCCCAAAATGGTTGTTTTAAATTATTACATGTTCCATCAGAAGTACGATATGCCATACATTTTTCATTACAATGAGATTTTAATTGATGCATTACACAACCAGATACAAGTGCAAGACGTTCCAATTGACGAGATGTAAGTAATTGATCAGGTCGAAAATCTAAAATTTACTCATTTTGTTTTTGTTTTTTATTACATTAAAATAATTACCAATAGTACGCATTTCATTTCTTGAATGTTCACTTGAAAATGTTATATTATCAACATAACGATGAACAAGATCTAATGCTCGTTCAAAAATATCTTCTGTTTTAGCTAATGTTAATTGTAATGGCTTAGGAAATTTCATTAATGACATTAAATCTCCTGGTGTTCGTGGTCGACGTCTATCTTGTAAATGACGTACTGTTTCGGCAACAGCACGATTAACTTCTATCGATGCTTGTTGTACTAGACGATCAATAAGTTCATCTGTTATTTGATTATCATCTAAATAGCAAATCATCAGAATTTTAATTTTAAGAAATCTTAAACTTACTAACTACAGAAACCCAAAATGAATGAATTTCTGTTCCAGCATAATTTTTTGCTTGACATTGATAATAACCAGATTGATTAGCAGTAACATTTGGAAGTATAAGTGATCCATCTTCTTTGAGTATATAATGCATATTATAATGAATAGGAACACTATCACGAAACCATTCAATTTTTGGTTCAGGTTCACCAGTTGCTGTGCATTCAAGTTCAACAGATGCTCCATCATATGTTGTTAAATTTGACATACGTCGAGAAAAGAAGGGTGGAGCTATTTAAGAAGAAAAACATTTTTCTTCGTTTTAAATAAAAGAAATAAAAATTATTTACTAGGATCTCGAACACGAAGATCAGTTGCTGCAGATATACGATGAAGAGAATTTTCTGCATTACATGTATAAAGACCTGAATCTTCATTTCGTAATTGACTAATACGTAATGTTTGACCATCATCAAGTAAATGCATACGATGCGATGGTCGAATAGTAACATCTAGATTTATATTGTATTAAAAAAATTAAATGAATTCATATGAATACTTACGAGATTTTATCCAAGTAATTTTAGGTTTAGGATTACCACGAACTTTACATTGTAATTGAATAGATACATTTTTTAATCCAACACGATATGTATCTGGTAATGGTGTGAAACGAGGAGCAACTATACAATAGATTTATTTTAGTAAATAAATCAAAAAAGAAATTCTTATATAACTTACAAAGTACAGTTAAATTTGCTGATGCTGTTTTGATCTCATTTACATTACGTATTGTACAAGCATACACTGCTTCATCACTCTCATCAATATTTAAAATTTGAAGATATTCATTAGTTATTCTATGTTTTGAACTAGTACCTATCGGTGTATCATTCTATAAATAAACAAAATTTATATAAATATAAAAATCTATTCATATACTTTTGACCAAAATATTGGACTTGATGATGAACTACAATGAAATATAGCATGATTACCAAGTGGAACTTGCGCAGATTGTGGTCGACGAGAGAAAAGCAATGGTTCTTTAATTATTATATATATAAATATACAAAATAAATAGAAAAAAATTATAAGTTACCTGTCTTTATTTGTTGTTGTGCATCATAATCTTCATAATCATCATCTTGAGATTTTACATGAAGAAAAATACTTAGATAAACAATTAAATAAATATATTTCGAATACATATTTCTTTTTTTCTACAAATAGCAAATGTACTGTATCTACTATCTTTCTGTTACTATTATAGCCTTTCTTTCCTCGTAATAGATAACAAATATGCCCATTAGATTTGATAGATGAGCAGCAATGTCTGTACTTTTATAGATCAAATATTTGATGAGAATATCTGTTGAGTGTTATACTAATGATCTTTCCATACATTTACAGATATAAGTAATATGACAGATAGAACTTTCTCGTATATTAATGAAAAGACCAGAATATGATAAATATAATATCGAATCATTTATTCTTGAGTTTAATCAATATCATGTTTATTTATTCATTTAAGACAAGAGAAAAAAAATAATAATATCAATTCATATCTGACATGAGAAAAAAATAATAGCTATTCAATTTATGATCGACATAATTGATGCATCACCGTACAGAGAAAATCCATCATTTGTAGATATTCATCAGCTCCATCAAGTAAACATCCATCGACAATCTAATAATAGTCATATTTAAACAATAATTATTTTCTTTTTTTTATCTTACAGCTGCTTTTTCGAAAATAATTGCTTTTTGTTCATTACCTAATGCCATTTGACTTAGAATATATTCATGTAATTGTAATAATAATTGATGAGCTGCATAACCTTCTAATAAAACATTCTGAAGAAACAAAACAAAACAAAAAAGATCTATAATAAAATAATATAGAATTATTTATTTACTTTAACAGTTGCAGCTAATTTTTCATAGGAACTTGAATGACATACTTGATAAAGACTCTCAATAACAGTATCTGGAATGACCTATATATTAGAAGATGAAGGAAATATTTTCTTAGTTTTCAATAGAATTAAAATCACATACACCAGTTATTTCATGTACATCATCAGCTGTTATTGTTACATTTGTACGAAAACGAGCAACACTTTGTAAAAATGTTACTGCTTTACGCATATCACCTTCTGTACATTTAACTAATTCAACAATAGCCTCTGTTTCACATTGAACATTTTCATTATTGCAAATAGCTTGTAAACGTTGTTCAATAATACTACTACTCAATGGTTTAAAACGAAATTTTGCACAACGACTTGTTATTGGATCAATTATACTTGAAAATAAAAATAAATTATTAATATGAAACAAAAAGTTTTTCTAGCTCGCTTACCGACTAATATAATTACAAATTAAACAAAATCTTGTTGTTTTAGATTCACGTTCCATTGTTCGACGAAGAGCTGCTTGAGCTGCTTTTGTCATTGAATCACATTCATCAAGAATAATTAATTTAAATGGTGGACAATAAACACCACTAAATTAAAAATAGAATAAAAGAATTTAATTTCTAAATTTATTTAATTATTTACTCAGTACGTGTGGCAATAACTGAAAATTGTGCAAATTTTTTAACTTTTTCACGTATAACATTAATACCACGTTCATCAGAAGAATTTAATTCCATAAGTCGATCACGAAATAATTGTGGTCCAAAAAGTTCATGAGCAGCAGCAAGTATTGTACTTGTTTTTCCAGTACCTGGTGGCCCATAAAATAATAAATTAGGAAAATCACTACCAGCTAAACATTTTGTTAATACAGCAACGACTTCATCTTGATAGGCAACATCACTAACTTTTTTTGGTCGACTAATTAATTAATAAATAAAAATTTAGAAAAAAGAACAATAGAAAATACACAAATTTTACTATTTTTCAACCCATGGAACTAATCGATCAGGTTTTGGTATGTTTTCCTTCATTGTTTCTGTATCTTTATTTGTTGTAGAAGGTGGATTTTTTGTAAACATTGCTGGTACAACTGGTTTTTTTACAGCTGGTTTTTTCGACATTTTGAATTTATCTGAAAAAAATAAAACTTAATCAAGCCCAAAGTTTAAATAGTAGACGAAAAAAAAACAAATTAAATAACAACAAATAATAAAATCTTAATTTGGTAATCGTTGTAGTTCTTGAATTAATCGTTTAATACCGACGATAAATCGAGCAACCTTTAAATGAAGTCGATAAAATATAGAAAAAATTCTTAATTATAAAAAATAACTAACTTCTGAACTTGCATTTCGAACTAAAACAATATGCATATCAAACGCTTGCTGTATATGATTAGAATTAAGTTCATGAAATATATTTGATAGTGTTTGTTTTGTATTCAATGATAATTTTTCTTGAGACCATTCATCATGCATAACCTGGTATTTTTTATTAATATCTTCGAGAATTTTTTTTTCAATATTTGCTGATTCTTCTAATTTTTTCATTTGTTTATGAAATATTTCATCGATTTCTTCAATTGTTAATAAATCAGATTTTGTTGACGGAGTATTATCCGAAGAAGTTACTGTTGAGATTGCTGATGATGAAGTGGAAACAGGTGGTGGTACTATTAAAGTATTCGCAGCTAAAAAAGAAATATCAAGGAAAAAACAAATCATCCAATAGATTTGAAATTCATACGATTATTTATTGATGTTAGATCTTGATTAGTATATGGAACACGTTTATTAAGTAAGACACGTTTTGTTGATATATTATCAGATAGAGCAAGATTAGCTGGTGGATCATTCCAACCATCAAGATTAGAAGATTTATTTGATGGATTCATCTGAATATTTTAAAAGAAATACAATAAAACAAAAATCAATAATGAATGTAGACTATGTTGTTTATTTCAAATGAAAGAAAGAGAGAACGAGAAAAAAAAACTACTAGTGAAAGTTGTTTTACAGGGAACAGAAAGGAAATAAGGACAAGGAACAAATGTTCTCTAATATAAACTGGAAAAACGGATGAACAATGTATTCAATTAATTGACATTGTCTTTGTAAAGTAATTTGATGACTAAAATAATAGTAGAATTTATATTAAAAATTAAAAGAAATAAATGTTAATTTACGTTTAAGACGATCTTTAGCTTTCAAATGATTGTATACTCTTGTAGCTGCTTGATAAACTACATAAGCAGCTATGACAACTTGAACACCTAATATAAGTTTATCTCGTGGCATCATTACCCATGTAGGTATAGTCTTGTTGCGCTAAATAAATATTGTAAAGTTAATAAAAAAATTTAAAATCATTTAAATATAATTTACAAGAGCAAAGATTTGTAATTCTTGAATGCGTCGTGTACGATTTTCAACAAATCGGTCAAGGGTACCTTTGGTACGTTTGACTTGTGTGATTGTATCAGTATCACCTTTATATGGTGTACGCCAAAGGTTCACACCTTCCCATGGAGCAGCGTGTGAATCATGATCATGACCATGACCGAAATCATGACCTCCAGAAGCAGCTCCATGTGATGATGTTGTAGGTAAGGTATGAGCACCGGCAACTGAACCTGAACTGAGACCGGGTTTAACCGAAAGAAAACGAACTAGTGACATTTGTAAAATTAGTAACGTTTTCTTTTTTTTAATGAGATCTAGTTTTTTTTTCGTATGTCTCGATATGACCGAAACTCTACAATAAAAAAGAAATTATTTATTTATTTATTTATATTTATCATTTCAAGTAATATACAAAGAATACAAAATAGTCCAATAAAATTCTTTTATTTCTTTAAACCATTTCTTAAATAACCAAATTAATCTCATTTTGCTTTTATCCAATCATTTTCTTCGTCTTTTCTTACCAAAAATAACAGAATAGGCATAAGTAGGAGAAAAAAAAAGAACCTGTACATTACTACTACTATCGCCTAACAACACACTGGCATAATATTCAGTTGACGACAAACATATCCATATATACACTAACAGAATCAAATAAATATATATACTTTATAATGGTAAGGTTGGTTTTACTATTTGTGTGCGCAATAAAAATCTGTTTATTCATACAAAATATCCAAGGAACAACTGAATATGATACATATTTTCATATATTTTCAAAACAAAATATTGATAAACCAATATCAGTCATATGGACAAATAGCAAGAAATGGTTAGAAGAAAAATCATTTCAGACATGTTCTATTAAAATAATTGCTCATGGTTACGCAGAACGATGGAATATGGATTGGCGATGGGATTGGGTACAAGATATGAAAAATGAAATGCTTAGTAATAAAACAAAAGAAAATCTTTGTGTGATAGCTGTTGATTGGGAAAAAGGTGCACGAGAAGCTAATTTTATTACAGCTGTTGCTAATGCTGATATTGCTGGACAACATTTAGCAGAATTTATACAAAATAATCATATTGATCCTAAACGTTTACATTGTATCGGATTTAGGTAATCATAAAAATGATTTTTAATTTAATGCTTCTATTTTTATTTTTCTGTTTTAGTCTCGGTGCTCATCTTTGTGCATTTGCTTCAACGAATTATTTTGTATTGACAAAGAAAAAATCTAGATTTGCTCGTATAACTGGTCTGGATCCATCGGGACCACTTTTACGTAAAGCATCTATAGATAAACGTTTATCTCGAGATGATGCCGATTTTGTTGATTGTATACATACATCAACTACATTTGGTTTACAAGAAAAAAGTGGACATATGGATTTTTTTCCTGATGGTGGTAAAAGTAGTGCGAAAGGATGTGAAAAATTTATTCAAATTAAAGATGATGATGATGCTGAAGTTGAAAAACGTCATCGAGTTAAACGATTATTTTTTACTAAAAATAAAGATGATGAAAATGAAGATATACCACAAAAAGGTTTTATTGGAAAAATACGTGATGGAATAGGACGTTTAAATCCATTAAAAAAAGTTTTTCTTAATATTCATGCTTATATCGGTTGTAATCATCTTCGATCACCACATTATTTTATCTCATCAATTAATGATTGTAAATTTCGAGCGAAACTCTGCTCAACATGGGAGGATTATCTATTATTGAATAAATGTAGTGATTCAACTGACAATGATTTAACTTATCCACGTATGGGTTATCATGCTGATCAAAGTGATGCTATTTATCGACGTGGGGATGCTAACTTCTATTTAAAAACAGTGTCACAAAAACCTTATTGTTCTGCCTCATCTTCGTCAACTATTTCTAAAAAACAACTCAAAGAAAAAACATCCGTAAAATCGAAATTAAAAAAAAAACTTTCCAAAGTTCTTCCTAATAATAAAAACAAAACAAAATAGATGTATGTATGTGCATTTTTTTTTTCTTCTGGAATATTATACAAAATAAAATTATTTATGATCCATACATATGAATGAAAAAGAGAAAGGGAGGGGGAGACAAGCATTACAACATACATACATACAAACAAACAAACAAAGAAAAGAAGAGAAACAGAAAATAAAAAGCCACAATAATAAGACATTGAAGAAAAAAAAATGAAGCACGCAATCCATTATACAATCTTACATACAGAAAAAAGAAAACAAAATAGAACAGATTGAACGTGGTAATTCATTTATTATATTAGTCAAAAAAAATTAGAGAGAGAGAAAATTTGTCGTTATATCGCACATTTTCAATAGATGAACACAAGTGATGTTTCAATTGTCTCACCGGTTCATTAATAAATAAAACATCTTTCTATTTCCAATAACAAGTATAAATGAGCAAAAAAAGGTGCTTTTTTACAAAAAACAAAATATTTCGAGGACGAACAACAACAAAAAAAATGATAATTTAAGCGAAATATCTTTATATATATAGATATGTTCCCAGAATCGATTGTATTAATTATTGACATAAACCACCAAACATCTCCTGACTCGCATAAGTCATATAAAGAAAACCATCGTCATCCTAAATAATAAAAAAGATAATTTTAGAAAATTAAATCATTTATTTTTGCTTTACTTTATCATCACGATAGATTTCAGCCATAGAAGTAGACATTGAAGCAATACTTTTATTATTAACCAATAAATAAAATGCTTGATTAGCATTTAATTGCATTCGATTTCTATAGTAAATGAACGACGTATAAAAAAAAGAACAGAAAGGTGGGATGCGTTGATTTTAACTTACCGAATAATTGTTACAAATTGTGACATGGTTAATTCTTGAGGTACCAAAAATTTCGTTTTATCTATATATACATAATAAATATTATTCTATACAAATCTATCGATTTAATTTACCAAGAATCGGTAGATCTTTTTCTTTGTGATATCGTTCGACGATAACTGGAATTTCTATAATAATAATTATTATTATTTTATTTAATTTTAAAAAATAGAATAAGAACATACTATTTGGAAATTTACTGCGAATACCAGCAACTTCTTCTTTACGAGTTGCTTCAAAATAAAAAAACAAAAGATAATTTCTATTTTTAGAAAATATAAAATTTTTACCGAAACTTTTTCGTTGTTTAAATGTTCGAGTATCTACACTTGATGAAGATGGCATGTTTTATTTCGTTTATTTATTAAATAGATTTCTTTTTTTTTCTTCTTCTTTAAATTGTCGTTGTTCGTATTTTTAATCTTAAATATAAATAAGAATAAGAATAAAAAAAGACAAAGAAAAATGTTGATAATAATACAAAAGACAAAAGTCAATATCCATGTTGTAAGATAATAGTATGACGTTATTTATATAAATTTCTAACGAAAGTGATACAACAGTTTACATATAAAAAAAGAGAAAATCTGACTCGTTCGATATGACGTCATCTTTTATACGTGAATAATAATAATAATATATGTGATGTGCACACTCTTTTAAAACAAAAAAAAAGAAGAATAGACCATTCAAATATATTGTCTATTTTACTCGTATGATCATACGGTCTTTCTATCGAATTAATGGAAAAAGAATGAAAGAAAAAAAAAAGCGAAATAAATATAGACATTATCGATTATTGTTGTAGTACTTAGCAATAACGAAGATGGAGAGGGGGTGGATTCTTGTTTTCTTCCATCATTACGTGGTTCTATTTCTTTTATTTTCTACTATATATATCAACTGTAGTTAGTTATTGATGACGAGCTGCTGCATATGCCCTCCCTCTCTATTCATACTTCAATGCGCACACTGATATTTTGTCGTATTTTCTATAGTTTTATTTTTTTCTTGTTTTTTGTAATAAAACAAGAGGTATACATGGCTCTCTCTCTCTCTTTCTTTTCTCGTTTAAATAATTAATCATCATCAATACGAGTCAAACATAAGTAGTTTTTTTTGCTTGCTAATTACTAACTCACTTTATTTCTAGCGTCAAATGTCAAAAAAAAAACAAAAACATAACTGAGACAAAAGAATCGTACCTATATTTCTTTCATGCTCATTATTAATCTAAGTAATAAAAAAAAACAATAATAATTTAATCTATCCTGAATTTATCTTAAAAATATATAGAAAAAAAAAAACAAAAACCAGAAATGACCTATTATCGTTTAATTAAATCTGAACTTTTTTTTTCTTAATTTTCTATAAAGAACGAACAAAAAATATAATAAGAAGTCAAATAAGCAGCATCATTTGACAAATAAAAACAAGAAAAAAAAACCTACTATACAATTGAAATGAAATGAAAATTTTTGTTTAAACATGTTTTTCAGTACCCACATTTTTTGTTTTTATATATACACATAAAATGTTCTAAATTAATGTTTATTTTATTTGAATAAAAGACCTTTTAGGTTATTTGTTTTTTTTCGTTTATTATATTTAAGAATAATTTGCATCATATGTTGAACTTGGTCGATTATTTGATGTAGCAGATGTTTGCCTTATATTATGTTGTTGTTGTTGTTGGTGTTGTTGGTGTTGATTATTTGATGAATAACGTGATGAAACAGTTTTAATTTGATTTTGATGTTGAGATAACAATGGATATAAACATTCATCAAGTGTATCTGTTTCACAATAAAGTTTAATTGTACGTAAAAGATAATCAGTTTGTATAAGTAAATGATTTGCAGCAATAAAAACATCATCACGATTACTGTCACGAAAATAAGCTTTTAATGTATTACTAAAATGTTTACTGTATTTAATAAATTCTTTTTTCTCATTTTCTAATGCTTGTCGTCCATCAATTGTTTTAAAATATTGATAGGTATTTGAAACACTATCAAGAGTTTTTTTAATCGCACTTGCTATTTCTTTAATTGTTTCAAGAAATTCACGTTTTTCGTTTATATCATCTGGTATACGACTTAATATACGTTTAAGATTTTTTGAACGTGCATTTAATTCCTGAAATTCTTGTTCACTACGTGATGATGATATATAGTAAGGTGTTTTATCACAATGTTTTTCAAGTTTAAGTGTTAATTCATTCATATTTGTTGTTGCTGCTAATAATGGTGTTTCTTTATTCATAAATGATTGAAGAAAATTATTTGAAAAACCTGGATAAATTTCTTCTAATTTAAATAAAGTCGTACGAAGATCAGTTTGCATATCTTTATAACCTGCTTTATCTAATTGACCAATAACAGGATATAAAATATTTGGTAAAACAAGTGCATTTGTTGGATTAATTGTTGATGATGATGATGATGATGAGACTTCGCTGATCGATGCCATTAGAATTTATCTAAATAAAATTAAACGAAAATTTATTTCTATCCAAAACATATCAATTCCTTGGTCCTTCAAAGTACATACACAAAACCTTCAACCTTACACATTACTATAATAGTTACAATATCAAAATGAACTATGTAATTTGAAAAAAGAATCATCAAAATTTCGTATTAAACGATGTTCTAATCGTTTAGATCATTGAAATATATATTACTTCATGTTTATAATTCTTCTACCTCTAATATCAACACCTTGATCATGATTTAATAGTACTCATTGACCTATTAGTTCTTATTTACTTTCAATGAATTACATTAACAAACTCATTATTTCTGCATTATTCATATACCAAAAAAAATTCTAAAAAAATATCAACCTATTCAAGCAATAAAACTTCATCATCTCTAAAAATAAAAAAAAAACAACAAAAAAATCTCGTGCATGGTCACATAACGCCATTAATCAATTTTGATAAACATAAAAAGACCTCTTTCTATAGTGATATATCATTGGTTAAAATATTCAACCAATAAATAAATTTAAGATGACGATAATGAATGAGAAGAATAATGTATTTCATATTCTTGTTATTAGTATTTTTTCTTTATTGAAATAATGTCAAATATAAATTTATTTCCTGAATTGGACACTGATCAAGGACAAGAACAAGAATATAATAATGGTCATAATGATTATAAAGAAGAAGAATTAATTGTTTTTGGTTATTCATGTAAATTATTTCGTGATGATTTTTCTGCAAAAGCTATTGATCGTGGACAAAGTCTTATACCATGGAATGGTGATGAAAATGTTATGATTGACAGGTGTGCAAAAATTGACTTTTTTTTTTGTTTTATTTTCTTTTTCTATACAATAACAAAACAAAAAAAACACACATAATCGACATTTCATAAGAGATATATCTATTCATTATTTTTTATTGAGATAAACATTACGGTAAGTATTGGTAGTGTTTATTTCCGATTTTAGGAAAAACTAAAAATAAAAATGGCTTTTATCAGGTGAGAGAAGCTGCTATTTAATCTACAATTTGGTAAGTGTATCTTATCTATTTTCTATGTATAAATAAAATTTATTTTTTTCTATATGTTATTCATATATATATATATGTATAAATATTTATATAAATATACTTTTTTATTGCAGTAGAACAGACAATCCATCTCGACAGTTCTTTCTTAAAAATAATTAAGAGCATGATTTAATTATAAGAAAAAAAAAAAGATGAGAGAAGAAAGTTTTTAAAGAAAGAAAATTGGATTTTTTTTATTTCATTATTTTTATTCGTTCTTTTTCGAAATTTTTTAGGTATGATTGTCGTGGTCATTTATCGGATTTAACATTATGGGATAGTGATCTAATACGAAAGAAAAACTTAGATAATAATAATGATCAATATTTAAATGAAGAAGAAAAACGAATTGAAGAAGAATGCGAACAAGAAAGATATTTAGAATTATATAGAGATATTGAAAAAGAAACATTACAACAAGGTAAAACAATTCATAAAATTCATATGAAATTCTTATTTTTTTGATATTTTTAGAAGAAGAATTAAAACGATTTAATGCTGAGAAGAATGCTTATAATCAAGTCGGATTTTCTTATCAAGAATTACCTAAACCTAATGAATCTTCTAATAAAATAGCAGAAGGTAAATTCATTTTTATATATACAAAAAGTAATATGTTTCCATTTTTAGAAACTTCACCAGCACTTGATGATGATGATGAATATGAACCATTTTATCCATCAGAAAAATTACAAATACCTTATGGAATGGACATTGTATGTTGAATGATTAAAATAAATTCTTTCTATTTTGATTTTTTTGTCTAGCCTGAATCGATAAAATTGAATGCTGTTATTGAGAAAACTGCTGGTTTTGTTTCAACATCCGGTCTTCAAATGGAAATAGTACTTAAAACAAAACAAGCTAATAATCCTCAATTTGATTTTCTAAAATATGATCATTATCTTAATCCATATTATCGTCATCTAATAATAATGATTAAATCTGGAAAATATCGACCTAATGTTGATAATAATTCTAATACAAATAGTCAAAAGAAAAAATCGAATAAAAATGGTAAGAAAAACTTCTTTTTTTTCTTATTTGTCACTATAATTTAATTTCAATATTGAATAGGTATTGATCAAAATAGTAGTCATGATGAAGATGAAACAGGTGATTCATATTTACATCCACTTTTACGTGGTAGTACAAATAGTGATAATTCAAATTCAATAAAAAAACCGGATGAAACATTACGTAAACCAGCGATACCAATGAATATTCATAATACAGCATATGGACAATTAATTAAAAAATATGAACATCTCAGACGTGAAAAGTATTTTAAATAGAAAATATTTTACTGAAAAATTTATTTTTCTTTAATTAAATAGAGCGATCAAAGAAAATGATGAAGAAAAAATGTCACCAAAATTAGAAGATATTAAAAATGATGAATCTTCGTATCTATTATTATATTTCAAATAATAATATTCTTAATTTTCTTGTATTTTATAGACCCAGATCAGAAACATCTTCCTCAACTAGTGTCATTCCACCACCACCTGATGTCAAACCTATTATAGATAAATTAGCTGAATATGTTGCACGTAATGGTTCAACATTTGAACAATCAATTCGAACAAAAAATGATCCTCGTTTTGGATTTCTCGAACGTGATCATATACATCATAATTATTATCAACTTAAAGTACAATTATGTGCAGTAAGAATAAATCTACGAAAGAAGAAAAAAAACAGAGTTTTATTGTTTTTTTATATTTTCTAGCAAGAACTTCTTCGAAAAAAAATTGAAGAAAATCAACGTTTAATTGATAATAATGAACAACATATACATGGAAAAGGTATTAAATTAGTATTAAAAACAAATACAGAAGAATCACTAACACCTACATCATGTCGAGAATTTTATTCAGATGAAGATTCAAATTCCATGCAACAAAGTAATTCATTTTTCTTAATAACACAATCATAATTCTAATAGTGTTTTGTAACTTTTAATATTTAGATGAACAAGATGATAATGGTGAATTTATTGGTCCTCGTCCACCTTCACCTGAATTTCTTGAAAAAATGCGTAAACAAGAAGAACGTCATGATCGTGCTAGTGGTTTTGTACGTGATAAAATTGTTCGTGATAAACAAGAAGAACGTAAACGAAAAGTTGAAATGCTTTTACAACAATTAAAAAATAAAACAAATGAACTACCGCCATCGACAACAGCGACACCACCACCACCATTAGCAATAACAACGGAGTCGAATGAAATAAAAAATAATTCAAATATAAATCCTATACTTGTTGAAAAATTACTGAATGTTAAAAATGAATGTTCATCATCATCATTAATAACATCTCCACGTCAATATAATCGTTCTAAACATTCAAGATCAACATCAAAATCTCGCCATCATTCAAAATATTCTCGTCGATCAAGATCAAAAAGTAATCATCGACGAACAAGACGATCATCACATAAGTAAAATATCTATTTTTAGTTTTCCTTTTCTATTAAAATTATTTTAGACGATCACGTACACGTTCAAAATCACGAAATCATCATCGTTCAAAAAAATCCAAAACGTAAGTTAAATTATTTAATTTTATTCGATTATTAAATCTTCTTAAATATTTCAAATATATTTATACAATTAAATATATCCCTGTTAAAAACAATTAGTAATACACTAGACTCCTAGATTGATCGTATAAGATTGGCATACAAATTCATCTATCATCTTTTCTTACAAGTCAGGTATCGTAAATTGGATTATGTTAGCTTTGTTTTTCATCTTTTTTCTTCGTTGGAATATAAAAAAAGAATTTTATTAATTTTTTTCTTTTTATTCATTAATTCCATAGTTCAAAATCATCGAAATCTAATCGTGATCATCGTCGTCATAGACATCGACGTCATCGATATTCATCAAAATCATCATCAAGATCAAATTCATCCTCAACATCAAGATCATCATCAAATTCTTCATATGATAAAAAAAAGAAAAGAAAACTAATGAATAATGATGACGAACAACGACAAAATCAAGAGAAAAAAAATCCACAATCATCAAAGTAAGTTTAAAATATGATAAGATATTATTTCATTTATTATCTACTAAGGTAAATATGACCTTAAAGAAATGATTTGATAAGAATTGAGAGAGAGAGAGAAAAAAAACTGATTGTGCATATTTCAATTTTATTCTATTAATGATAAAAAATAGTGATCATTGTAATTAATAAACTATGGTTTTTATTCTTTAAGAGACTCTAATTTAAGAAAAATATTTAACTACTGAAAACTATCATCAATAATGGTATCATTTTCTTTCTATGATCAATACACGATTGAAATTGCTTTTCAATATATCATATAAAGATAGAAAAAAAATATTTCTTTCTTTCTAGGTGGGATCAACGAGAACCAATAAAAATTAAAAATGAGCCACCATCAACTGATACACCTGTGTCTGCTTCATCGTTATCAATGAACACTGAAATAACGTTATCGAACAGTACTTCTTCATCTTGATGAATATGAGAGAGAAAAAAACGACGAAAGACTATAACGCGATGTAAATTTTCGTTCTCTCTTTCTGTCTATTTTGTTGTTGTTATTACTTTTTTTCTTCTTTATATGTAACTAGTCTGATTCAGCGTCTATGGATATATATTAAAATAAAAATTTTAAAACCAAGAAAAAACAAATCTATATTCAATTTTCTATTTGACTTTTTTGTTTTTTTTTGATTGAATAAGAATGAATACTATTTTTCAACGAACATTATTGAATTCTATTAAACAAGTAAGATATGAATATTTTGATGAAAATAATTTCTAATTTTTCAATTTGATTACACAAGGCTCAACAAATAAATAGTAGACGATTTAAATGGACTGGTCGAGAATTATTACGTGATATTGATCCTGAAATGTTTGGATTGATACAAAAAGAAAAACAACGACAAATACGTGGTTTAGAAATGATTGCATCAGAAAATTTTACATCACGTGCTGTTTTAGAAGCACTCGGATCATGTTTAACAAATAAATATTCTGAAGTATATTAAAAATTTAATTTTATATTAAAATAAATTCAATTTTCTAGGGTTACCCTGGTGTAAGATATTATGGTGGTAATGAATATATTGATGAAATTGAAATTTTAACACAAAAACGAGCACTTCAAGCTTTTAATTTGAATCCAAGTGAATGGGGTGTTAATGTTCAATCATTATCAGGTGCACCAGCTAATTTTGCTGTTTATACTGCACTTCTTGAACCTCATGGACGTTTAATGGGTTTAGATTTACCTGATGGTGGTCATTTAAGTCATGGTTATGCAACTCCAACAAAAAAGATCTCATCAACAAGTGCTTTTTTTGAAACAATGCCTTATAAAGTTGATCCTAAAACAGGTCTTATTGATTATGAAACTCTTTCTAAAACATCAAAATTATTTCGTCCAAAAATAATTGTTGCTGGTATATCATGTTATTCACGTAATCTTGAATATGATAAATTTCGTTCTATATGCGATGATATTGGCGCAATACTTGTTGCTGATATGGCACATGTTAGTGGTCTTGTTGCTGCTAATGTTGTTAATAATCCATTTGAATATGCTGATGTTGTTACAACAACAACTCATAAAAGTTTACGTGGACCACGTGCAGCATTAATTTTTTTTCGACGTGGAATAAAAAAGAAACAAGCACCAAAAAAAGGAACAAAAGATGAACAAGTTGAAAATTTTGATTATGAAAAAAAAATAAATGAAGCAATTTTTCCTGGTTTACAAGGTGGACCACATAATAATACAATTGCAGCTATTGGAATTGCATTAAAAGAAGTTGCTTCAGATGAATTTAAAACATATGCCAAACAAGTTATTAATAATGCTAGACAACTTGTTAAAACACTTCAAGAAAAAGGCTATGTATTTGTTTCAGGTATACAATAAATATTAAAAAAAAAAAAAGATAATAATATTTATCTTTTTTAAGGTGGTACTGATACACATTTAGCTTTACTTGATTTACGTCCTCTTGGTCTTGATGGTGCTAAAACTGAAAAAGCTCTTGAAGCTGTTTCAATTACTGTCAATAAAAATACATGTCCAGGAGATAAATCTGCTCTCAAACCTTCTGGTATTCGATTAGGTAATAGTATAATAGAAAATATATGAAGAAAAAGAAAACAAAGAATTTCTTATTCTATAGGTACACCTGCATTAACTACACGTGGTTTTCGTGAAAATGATATCATTGAAGTTGCTAATTATATTGATCAAGCAATAAAATTAGCTACTGCAATAAATAAACCACATGATAATCAAAAATCGTCTCAAACAACATTAAAAGATTTTAAAGAGAATATGAAACGAAATGAGCATGTAAAAAGTATTGAAGATTTAAAACATTCCATTGAAGTATTTGCTGAAAAATATTCAATGCCCGGTTATGATAAAGTTTAGTACAAGAAATAATTGCAATATGATTAGTATAAGTATACTTCTTCCGATAATTATGATTTTAGTTTGTGATCTATTTATTCTTGTTTTTTGTTTGTTTACATCTTGAATAAAAAGAAACGATATACTCGTCTAGCTTATAATTCATATTCTTTTAAAAATATCAATTATTATAATAGCAACAGTACATAATAAAAATATGTTTGGCTATGATTGCTAGAATTCTAAATAAGTAGATCATGCTAGTTTTCTACACTGTGTCATATCGGATTTTTGTATATGTATTATGCCGATTGATTCTTCATCGGTCATTCTAGCTGATGAATTAATACATCATTTTGAATATAACTATTAAAACTTCTAAGAATATTATGATCGAAATATTAATCAATAACTAATGGATATTACGTATTATGTAGAAGTTTTATACAGATTTTTAAAGTGGATGTGTCTAGAGCCGACTCTTTATTTGGGTGAAAAAAATACAAGACATAAAAAACAAAAAAAAACTTCCCTCAAAACGGGATCCGAATATGGTTGTTCGAAAAAATGTATTCGAAAAGAACCATATCCGGATTTTCATGTTTTTCGGGAGGACAGTTAAAATTTTTGTTCACCATTTTACTGGTAAATTGCAGATAATAATCATAATTATCATGATTACCTACGAATACTATAACCCTTTTGTTTTTGTCGCGGGTCGATATGGCGATGACCTGGTTTTCTGCTTGGACTTTATCCAGGTTAAACAATCCGGCACAGAAACAGCCGGTTCCACCTGGATCCGGCAGCCATTACTGGTGATCAAGTTCTTGTGTCGGATCACTCGCTTTTTCTGGCGGATTCCGTCCAGAAATGCCGTGATTCCTGACGGTGTTCACCGGAAATTCACAGAATACTGCTTCAGTAATCATCGTCTTGGGTAATTCGAACGAATAAGCCAGTTTGATACGAAATTCTAACCTTCCAATACTCGTCGTTATTAGCTGCCTTTTCAACCGCTTCGGTAGCTCCCAGTGTTTGTAATATTTGTTTATCCCAAAGGTTTTTCGATACATAAGTCGGATCAATTTTATTCATTAATGACGGTTTATCTGTTTGTTCATCTGTAGTAGAATCATCGAATTTAAGTGAATTCAATAAATCATCATCGTATGAAAAATAACCATTAAGATCACGAAGGGAGATATCAAATGTTTCTAGGATCTGTAGAACGCGTAGTTCTTCATCGGAAAACCACCAAACACTAACAATAGATAGGGAATTTTCTTCTTCTAATTGATTTAAATCACACCGTAAAGTTCAAAGAATCAGATCTTTGTTAATGTGCTCATTGGACCATTTAATGTCGTTTTCTGCTTCAATAGCATCGGCTACATTTTGTAGGTCTCAATTGAAGGTGTGTAAGAAAAGTAATCGAGCCACGCTGTGTTTTACATGGTCTTCATTATTGGGAGTCAACTGGTAGCCCAAAGCCTATTTCACCATATGGAGCTTTTTCTTTGCACATTCCCAGGTCGACCATTACGAGGTCCGTAAACGATCGAATACCGTCGGATACGACACCATATACGACCGTATTTCTCCGTATTACCTAAGGCCGTATTATGTACATATATACCAAATAATATGAATAACTTACCACATATATTGAATCATAAGTAAAAATCTAAATGGAGAAAGTAAAACATTAATTAGTTTTATTTTAAAGATACATAACTTACTATACATTTATACATTGTGATGAAAGTATGAATCTAAATTAAGAAAGCAGAATGTTAATATTTTTTATCTGTAAAATATTTAACTTACCATATGCATATATTGAAATAAAAATATAAATCTAAAAAAAAGTAGAATATTAATTATTTTTATGATATCAGCACTAAGTTTTTTCATGATTATACTTGCCCTTTTACGAACTCAAAATATATTCTAATTATCATATGTATCTTTGACTTTTTATATAAAAAATTTTAATAGCTGTCATAGAAAGAACTTCCTATTTGGCTCTTTCGAGGCCACGCGAGCCACCGGTGACTTATACTGTATTTTAATGAGAAATTGACTTACAAAATACATTTTTTATCTGTTTTCATGACAGAAAGTGACAGTTAGTTCTACATTTACTCCGTGCATATTACTAGTTGACCTATTTTATTGTGGAGAAAAATGCTTTTCGTTAAAACAATCAACGTAAAAGAATTTATCGCAATCAGGACAGAAACTTTGTACTCTCTTTGCTTCAGTAGCACTTGTTTCTCTTGATTGTTGCTATCGAATCTTCTCATAGCAACCGACACATCTTCTTCGAATATTACGTGCAGATCCTTTCAGGGTGTGGGTGTGTTATTACTATAAGCTATCATCGTATATTCATAGATTTTGGATAATAACTAATCATTTACAAAATACATAATTTTGCTCAAGTTGTTAATTTTCTGTAAATGTATGAAAATGAGCCTAAAATGTATTTTTGTATATTTTCGTATTTATAATTCATTTAGCAGAGCATATGATCACGTTCATAGATGGTAAAGGACTATGAACTATGCACAAGTAACGCTCGTCCGAGGACTTGCTTAGCTCTTTCTCGTAGAAATATATTTTCTTCATATTTACTGGAAAAACAAATGAAAATCGTGAAAAATTGATTTTCGATGTTTTTTTGACCCGGCGGGTACACAAGCAAGCAGACAATTTATGTTTGCAAGACTCTTCTCTACGAGACAGAGAATAGTTAAGAATATTAATGTAGTGATGTCTCTTGTTGCTGTTTTAATATAAACTCAATCCAGGCTCTTCTTCCGAATGACATACGTGCATATATTTTTATTCTATAAATTTATGCTGTCAATAAATGAAATGATCTTTATTATTTTTTTATCTTTCTATACAGACACAATGAAACATAATAAGACATATCCTGGTTTCATTTGACTTTGCTTTTCTGAATAGATTCTTTTAACATAAACATTTGTGAGAATGTTGATACTTGCAGCTATGACGCAGTCATAATTAATTAGAAAGATATTAATGAGTATGTCTCGAACCATAGGAGAAAAAGTTCTAAAAAATTTCAAGATAGACTCTAAAACATGCGCCATATATATTTTAAAAATTTCAACAAGATCATACACCGAAACGTTTTTCTTACACATGGACTCTCTCAAGATTCCAACAATATTATTTACTTCTATGAATGATTCTTCCCTTGTATACTCCTACTTCCTCACATCTTTAACATCAATTTATTATTGATAGCTTTTTTCAACAAATGCTTATAGAACTAGCACTTCTATAGTTTATAGAGTAGATTAATATACATACGACATATAGAAATTAACTCTAGAAAAGTATATCTCATCCTGAGAAACATATGAAGTCATGTTACTAATTAATAATTTTGTTCATATCAATAGTTCATTAATTTTTTATTGAATTCTTTTCTCACTATCAACAATTCTATAGACTTATTTACAATTACCCTATTTATAAGTATAAGTATTATGAAGACTAAAGCTCTCAAAGAAAATAGTGCATATCATAAATGATTAAATATGAAGAAAGTGCAAGATATTTTTATTCTATCCAATTGAAATATCAGAAGCCATTAATGTGTGTAAGTACTTTTTTTATTACATAGTAATAGAATATAATAGTAATGAAAACATTCATTTACACGACTTTTTTTTTGTTATCTCGAATCATAATATTGCACTTAAATAGAATAAAATCAACGTCATTCTTAGGAAATACTATTTTTCTATATAATTCGTTTCACGTGTTGTTTTTTATGGATATATATTTGAAACATATAATTGAAGGTGAAATATTATAAAAATATATGACGGCATCTATCACAATCAACTGTTCTTATTTATGATAGTAATTTACTTTAGAAAAAGACAAAAGAAGAAAAAAAAAAAGATACACATAACACACTTTTATAGAGCAACACGTCCCGATTGGTTATTATTAAGACTATACTTTGATGTAGTTTTTATACGCGTTGTTATCAATAAATGTGGACTTTCACGACTTTGAATAGAATTTGTACGTGCATGACTATCAAGTTTTGGTGTTTGTGTTCGAACTCGTTTTTGTGAATCATTATGTCCCATTATTTGTCGTTGTTTTATTGTTTGTTTCTGTAAATAATCATTACAAAAACAACAATGCCGACACATAATTTTTAATGTATAACGAAATTTCGAATTTGTTAATGAATAAATAAAGAAATTGACTGAATGATTTACGGTTAATAATAAAGTTGAAATAAAAAGTAAACAAACAAAAATAGATGCGTTTATATATCCACATGGATTATTATTAATAAGGCTAAATATAGTTAAGACAAGGACGGGTAATTGACATATTATATTAAAAAAACAAATAATCAAAACCATTCGAGTTATTTTAGATTTTGATTTTAATCGTTGAGCAACGACTTCAGAATGTAATATAAATTGATTAGATTTTTTTGGTCCAATTTCACGACTTACAATACGTATTAATAATATCCAAAGAATAACACATATTACCCATGGACCTAGTAAAGATAATACAGCTGATACAACTTTTAAAATATCTAAAACTTCCATGTTTGATCGAAAGTAATAGTAAGGCATTATAGATAGTATACTAAATAAAAATATAACTATTAATGCTCTTCTTTCATTTTCACTTGAACAATAAACTTGTGAATAAAGTGGTTTAACAACAATCATTAAACGAAAAGAAGTTATTGTTACAACTAAAAATAAAAATCATTTAAAAAACAAAAATGAAGAAAGAAAAAGAAGATGAATTACCAATCCAATTTGAACAAAATGTAGCACCTGTTGCTACAGGTAATATAAATGAATTGACAAATCCACCTACTGCCCCATTAGTTTTTGGGCCATAATAATAGATAATATGTGGAATACAGGCAAGTGTCGGAGCAATAATATCGCTGATTGCTAAACCTTGAAGTAAATTATTAACACCTCCTTTTCGCATTAGACGACGGTTCAATACTATCAACGTAAGGACATTCCCTAATGAATAAAATTTTATTTTGTATAGTATTAATAAATCTTATACTCTTGATATTTATATTTACCGATATTTCCTAAAACCATTAAAATTACTTGTATAACACCCCACAGAATTTTCCCCGATAGTCCCTCAAGTGCATCGCCGATTAATTGATCTGCACAAATTGTAGAATTATCATCTTCATCTAATGATATATTTGTAGTTGTGTTTAAGAGAAATGTTGCTGGTGATGTTATTTGAATATTATTGCTCATTATAGTTGATAACTGAAAAATATGAAAAGAAAAAGAATATCAGTATGTTACTTTTTAATTAAATAACTCGTCTATACTCTCAATAGACAGTATCTGGATTTTATTAAAAAAAATATATATATTTTCTGGAAAAACTGTAATTTTCTAGTTCGTTAATTCTGTTATGAAATATTCTCTAGAGAAACAAAAACTATTCCGGTTTTTATATTTTTCTTCTTTAACTGTATAATTTTTCCTGGATGCTATTTAACAAAACATAATTAATAAGTAACTCTTTTTTTTCTCTAGTTATATTACCGCTCTATAACTATCATATATATATATATTCTATAAGATTTATCTGTCTTCAGTAACATATAGGTGACGACATTTTATGTCTTTAATTAATGAAACATAAAAGATACGCAAAAACTGATCGTCGTCTATTCATTTTAAACGATGTTATATACAAGAATTAAAGTCATTGCTATCTATAATCTTCTTGTTTTTAGATCCTATTAAAATAATCCATTTTAATAGAAAATCATTAAATGTACTTCCTATATAAAATCATTTGAACTTTCAATGACACATTATAAAACTTACCTATTAGATATAAAGATATTCAATTACAAAAGAAAAATTAAACTAGTAGTATTTAGCTAGCATCGATCTAATATGTAGAAGAGAAAAGAAAGAAAGAAAGAAGTCAACGAAGAAAAAGGATGTTTTTGCAATCACATTTGTCTTTTTCTTTATAGAAATTTATGTCACATAACTCTATATTTTACATGACATCAGACTCAATTGTCTATTCACCAAAACAATCAAGGACTGGAAAATTTTTAATAAAGAAACTTGTATATCTAGTGTAAACTTCTACAGACTCAGTTGTATGTAATTTTCGTCATAACACGCTATTCTTATTCCATGATAAACTGGCGCTAAAAACAACATGCAATACTCACCATCAAATCAATAATATAAGTTCTTTTGTTAGATTTAAATAGAGTTTATCACGTATAACATAGATTTTAAAAGTAAAAAAAGAAGAAACTTTTATCTAGAGTAAAAGAAATAAACCATTTAAGTCGATATTAAAAGCAATTTTCTTTTACGCAATGAAAACTAAGAAATGTTGTTTATCTTGGTAAACAGACAAATTCTAAGTACATTAAATAAAAATATCTTTAAAATGTTTAACTTCTGTTCTATCAAAGGTCATACTAAACATTTTTAAAGCAAAATAAAAGAAAAATATGAATTTTTCTTTTAACACCAAGTAAAATATTTCGATATATATATATATCTTTTCAAACGATTTAAACAATGCGTAAAATGACACAATTGAATAAATATATTGAAGTAGGTCACAAAAAACACGACTGACATACGATTAGTGTTAGTAGTTTTTTTTTTTCGCAAGTAAGCTCAATTTAATCTCTTGAGGTCGTTATTTTTTTTTATCTAGATAATCGGATCTCGCTACATCATCTAATTGCTTGGTTATGTAGATTCATGACCAACTCATTTATTCTAAAGTAATACGATGATAAAAATACTCTTAACTTCAGAAAACAGATAGTTGAAAGAAAAAGAAACGGATGTTACTTATCATTCATCTTTACATGAAAAAGACAAACAACTACTATCTATTCTCTTAGGATAATATATGAATAAAAAAATATATATATTTCATAACGAAACATAAAAAATAGTAGATTATTTATTCTCAAGGACTAATAATAATAAATAAAAAAATATTTCTCTTTTGTCTATAATCACATTAATTTATCATGTCATATTTTTAATGATTGACAAATATATTATAAAGGCAAATTGCAAATTATACATACGTATTTCACAAATCGAACAATTCATAATCTAATACTGAGTGTCATAAAACATCTAAGAAAGGTCTTGATGATTTCCCTAATACACTTTATTTTCAAGTATGTTTGCTACTCAAACACTTTCATAGAGTATTTGTTTTAAAGAAAAATAATTATATAAATAGATTATTTATTTAATGTGTCGAAAACATCCAATTCATTAATCGATAATGTACAATCAAGATAAATGAGAGTAATAATATCTATGAATTTAGGGAATATTTTCATATCGAATTACGATATTTAATGACCCCCAACAGTATGTTATCTTATTTTTATTAATTCATATTGTACGTTTATTAGTATAATCTTATGAATTATCTTTATTAAGTAAATGTTTACGTCATCAAAAGTACTGAAGATCTCCTAGGAAAGTCACGTAGTACGTAACGTTCGATAGGATAATTTTTTTAAAATCTAAACCTATTAAAATCCAATTAAATTTTTAAGGAAAGCAATTTGTTTTAATCATCTCAATTAGTATTTGTAATTACGTACTTTACAAATCTGAGCTGATTAAGTAGAAAATTCACTATAAGATAACATTTTAAGATTAATTTGTTTCCATATTGTCAATCTCTATATGGTTATATGAATATTTTGTTAATATATCATCGGAATTAGATATGATTGTTAGAAATGAAAGAAATCTGAATATTAAATGTCACATCTACAAAGATAATCGAATATTTCTTATTCAAAATGTATTTGGAAACTAATGACCTTAAACTTATAGATATGACTTTGTTTTATTGTACAGTAAATGAATCTTTTTGTTTACTTACTTTAACAATCTATTATTGTTGCTGTAAAAACCATTTTGACACAATACGCTAGCTTATTTGGTTAATAAAAAGAGATAATCGATTTATTTCTGACACATTTTAGGATTTGGATTAATTCAAAAATGGAGAATTCTTCTAAAGATTTCTGTCATAATAATATAGAAATAGATACGCAATTTGTGTTTCGATCAAGCAAATAATAGAAAATCTCGGAAACAAGTGAAGATGTCTAGTCTTTTTTTCAATTACAAAAAGTATTATCATATTTTTTTTCTGCCGAAATAGCAAATCACAGATATATTTTAAGCTTATAGATATTCATTAGTATTCTTTATAACTAAATTATCTATTCCCAAGAGTTATTAATGACCTAACCAAGCAAAAATACGAAAATAACCTTACTGCGGACTTAATTATTTAAATAATCTAGTACTGCTTAATAAAGACTTCTAAAAATATGTTAATCTATCCCTATATGTCATACTAACTTGTTTTACTTCTCAATAAGTTTTCCTATAACTTACATTATAAAATGAGAAGTTCATTTTGATTATTTCACTTTTAAGAAAAGTATAAAATCTCTCTGGTGACTTATTCTAAAAAGCACTTATTTCTTTTTATATTAGAAATAACAAAAAGAATAAAAAGAATGTTAAATTGAAGAAAAAGCATCTATCACGAGAAAATTTTTTACTAATAAATCTTGTATTAGATATTTTTAGAAGTTCTACTTATCTAAAAACAAAGTAAAAATAAAGTTCTTGAAATATACTTATGTTCCACTAAATTAATTGTTCAGGAAATGAAAGGAAAAAAGAATCATCTTTGAATTTTGTTATGTTGTCTAGTAATCTAATTTCTAAAAATGTTATAGGATAATTGAATTGTATGCACTCGAGAGAGTGAGATGTTGATAAAAATTGCTATGAAAAGAATAATATTCTAGACCTTTTATTTTTCAAAATATAGTTTTCATCGTTCTTGTCTAATAGAGATACACGCAATAGGAGATTTACAGAAATGATTGCGAGTATATCAGTAGATCCCATAAGAGACACTTTATGTCCGATTAGTTTTTATAATTAAAAAAAAATATGTCTATTCAAAATATTTATTTGAAGCCTCGTTAAATACAGAAGGAAGTGACCTAATTAAATCCATTGCACGTTTTTCTTGACATAAATTATTAATTGTACTGTAACACTAAATGTCACAACGCAAAAACTATATTTTACATAGAATTTAAAAAATGCATAACTAATCACTTCTAATATTTGTCATTTTTAGATAAAATAAAGAATATAGAATTCAATATTAACCTTTTTCATAAGAGTATTATGCACATTATTTGAAAAGATAAGTAATATTTGTTTCAAAATCGTTATAATCTTAACGTTAACGTTTTTCTTCTAATAACACAAAAAAAGCCATGAACTTCTTAACTTTGAGATTGCCTTGTTATTCTTCGAAGTAGGAAGAAAACAATTTTGTTCAGCATGGTAGTTAGACTCCTCGGGGCATTATCATACTTCCGATGCAAATCTTCTACAAATACTCGCAGAACTAAAGTAAAAAACACACAATTATAAAGTGCATTCATAATTATTTTCTTTTTAATTTCTAGACAATCGGATATTCAAACAATTTCCCCAACATAAGCCCATATATATTTTTTTCACCTTGATACAGATCGAGAACAATATTTCTGTCATTTAAAATTAGTTGATTATTTTTTTTTTACAACTGATTGTTATATTCATTATTGAATACAAATAGGAATGGAATAAAACCGAAGTATATACACTCACACCACATTATCAAGTATAAAGAAAAGAAGAAGAAAAAATAAAATCATGTTCTTAACTCGAGAAATAACAAGCAAATTCACCTTTTCTGTTTTTTTTGGTGTACTCGTTTTCTTTTTTGCCTTTTTTCTTATTCCGACTGAAACAACAAAAGAAAAACAAATTTTTCGAAGTGATTAACAGTTATATGTAAGTTTTACATAGAATTCACTGCGCTTGATTTTACAAGAACGATAGTTGATCATCGTCAAAAGAAAAGCAAATAAGTTCTTTTCGATTCTCAATTAAATAAGAAAAGAAAAGAATGGAATAATTTTCTAGTCAAAATTTCGTTTACTATGACAACATCAAAATGTTAACTTATTCTGAAGAAAACGCATTATTAAACATGAGTACTGACTTGGAAACTGATGAAATAAAAACAAATGAACAAGATACAATTTTTAAAAATAACTTACAATTACAAGAATTAAATCAAAGAAAATCTATAGACAGTTTAATCTTTTATGCTGGTACTGATAAAGCACATGTGTAAGAGAAAAATTTTATATTTATTTATTATTCTGTTTTTTGATATAGAATTTCTGAAATACTTGAAGAACGTGGATGGTTAAGAACAAAAGATCGTCATGTGACTAATTTTACTATAAAATGGTGTTTAGCACATCAAGTAGATTGGAATAAATTTCAAGAAGGAAAACAATTAATTAATAATATACCTGGTCAATTAGCTTTTTCTGATAAAATTAATTTATGGTATACAATACGTGATTATTTTCAAAACAAACGCACTATAAGTGGACAACATATACAAAATTTTCTTGCAATGACATTTGTTCTTGATGATGAAAATGAAGTAGCAGAATTTTTACGTGCTTATAAAAGTATGTCTTCTTTTGTATGCTAGATAAAATAACAAACAGCTTAGCCATGATTTATTTCTTTAAAAAACAAAATAGACTTATTCTTAATAAGTGGGTCTTAATTATGAATAGTTGAGTGACAAAAAAATAAACTATGGACTTTTATTTAAAGTTCAAAAAGATAAAATTAGCAAATTAAATTCTTGTACCCAACGCACATACCTCGATTTAAATACTAAAATTACTCTATAATAGTGTATATTCTTATAAAAATAACTACTTTTTTTCCCCAGTTTATTTGATAGTGTGCGAAAGATAGTTAATCATATGGATTATAGATTAATTTACTGTTATTACTAAAGAAGCTCTTCTATCACGAAATTAAAAGAAAAAAACTATAAGATTTATACGCACGAAAGATTGATGAGTACAGTTTTAGTTTATTCGTCGAAACTGATCTCTTTCAGAATTTCTTTTGTTCGTTTAATTTAAATTTGTACTATAAAAAACTAAATCTGTCTGATCCTAAAATGAATGAATGAATTAAATTTTATTTTTTGTTTTGTTCATTATTTAGAACAGAATCGAACATGGATCTATAAACCCCGATATAGTTACGCCGGTCGAGGTATTACAGTAATACCAGTTCATACCGATTTAAGTACAATATTTAAATCTAAAATTGGTACGAATAATCGTCCGCAACAAGAACCAAGGTCACCCGGCTATTTAATACAACAGTAGGTTTATGAATAAATTTATATCTAATTCTTTTTATAATTTCTATAGATATATATCTCGGCCATTATTAATAAAAGGTCGAAAATTTGATATACGTGTACATTGGCTTGTTGCATGGACAAAACCATTACTTGTTTTCTATAATCATAATGCATCAGTTACACGTTTATCACTTAATCTTTATCATGAATTTGATTATGATCGTTCAACACATTTAACAAATTTGGTAAAAATTTATTTATTAATTCTACAATTTTTGCTTAGATTAATTCTTGTTAGTCAGTACAAGAAAGTCATTCTCGTTACAATTTTTTACAAGAATCAACAGGTATGACTATGAGTCAGTTAAAGTAAGAATAAACGATTGATTTTTTTATAAACAATTGAAATTTTTTCTTAAAAATTTTAGTCATTATTTTAATCAATGTTTTCGACCATTTCATCCAAGAATGCGTCAAGATTGGGTGATGACTGTTATGCAAGTAATATATTACTTAAATTAGATTTACTCAATATTTAAGTCTTAGTACAATATAGTGTTTTTCTCGCTGCAAAATAATTCTCATTTTCCATCTGGTATAAAATTTTAATCTTATGAAATTTGATACTAATTGCGTATATTATATAAGGCTTCGAAAAAAAATGAAATTTTGATTGACAAAAGTCTCTTTTATTATTACACATTACTCATACAAGATTATTTGAAATTTTTGTTATTAACATCATCGACAAGTTAGAGATATCTAAGTTCTTTTTCGAGAAGAAAAAAACGTTTCTCACTTACTTTGCTTATTGTTAAGATTGCATCTTGGTTGAGTAAAATTATGAAATGTATGAAGAGAAAAATATAATGAGTTTTAAAATAAGTACCAGTAAGTAGAAAAAAATAATTAAATTTTAAAGCATTCATAATATTGCTTTTTAAATATTTCATGTTTTTTACTTGCATGAAAGGAAACTTTAATAAAAGAAAGAAGGTCACGCGTAAATTAAATTATTTAAATAATATTCTTTGAAAGAAAAAGAAGAATTCTTTTAATAAACTTATAGAATATACGAACACTTTACTGATTGATGTAGTGGTATAAATAAAAAGAAATATTTCATCAGTCATTATCTAATCAATAATGGATTACAAGTCATGGCATGCGTATGTAATTACATCCATTATAACGCATGATAATGCTCATTATTTCAATTATTTAGGTACATGAAATATGATATATCAAATTGGATAGTTTAAAATCATTATTCTCTCTTATAGAATAGATAATTCTTTACAATCACGAATTATGACTTTAAATAAGTTTATTCTATAATTATAGTTTATAGAATTTCTAGAAGATATTTAATTAATTTATGTTTTAAAATAGGAACGCATGCATACTATAATTCGTCATGTAATACGTGCAAGTAAAGATAAATTAACTCGTGGTGCTGGTCAATTTGGTTTTTTTGGTTGTGATTTTTTACTTGATGAAAATTTTCGTATATGGCTTTTAGAAATCAATGATAATCCCGGTGTTGGGTAAGTACAATATATTAAAATAGAAATGATTTGATGTATTTATTATTTATATTCAAAGATGGGGCAATTCTTTAGTGAATACAACAACAAAACCTTTATTAGACGAAACACTTAGCATTGTTTGTGAATGTTTAAATAAACATAAAAATCAACAACCATTATTACCTATTGGTTGTTTAAAAAATTATCAACTTATTTATAATGAAGATGATGATGCTAATAGACTTTTACTTGATGATAATCAAGTATTTACTGAACAGTTAACAATTCGATATGCATTGAAAGAAAATTCACCTCGAAAACCAGTTCGTCGAACATTGCCTAATGTTAATGTTAGTCGAGCATCAATATATCCAAATGATGTGTATACCAGTGATAGTAATAATAATATTCTTCTTCCATTGAATTTAGTTAATATTGAAAATTCAAATTCTTCCATCGTTAGTACAACATCTGTAGATTTAACTCCAATTAATAATACATTAAACATACTTAATACAACGAATGAAACAATAGACCATGATAATAATATAGAATTAGGAAGTTTAACAAAGCGAAAAAAAGTGGTGAAAAATTATAAATCGAAATCTTCATTATCGATATCACCAATAAATGGATCAACAAGTCGATTAAATAAGACATGTGTTAGACGAACTCTTTTAAAAATGAATACATTCGATATTGAACAAAAAAAACCTTTTGATCTATTACCAACGATTATCGATAAAAGAATTTGTATGCAACGAAGTGGTACAGTTATGGATACTATTGAAACAAGTAGAAAAGAAAATAAAATAGTACCACATAGAATTGTTATTACAACTGAACATCAAAATAGAATGGAAAAAGCAAATGTAAATCCTGCAAAAGTTTGTACTTTAACTTAATCAATCATATTTTTCTTCTTTTTAATTTATTTTCTAAATATATTGTTTTTTTTTATAATAAAAAAATCAATGAAACTTATATGTTGTTTTAGTCTATGATTAATGATGCTAATAATAAATCTGTAAGATGACGTTGATTTTGAAATAATTGAAAATTTTCGAATTTTAATAAACGATATGATTCTGATTTTGATGTTGGAGCCACTTTTCGCATTATTGTTGGAATTTGTTTTAATATATCCATATAAGATGTTAATTCCGATTGAATACGATTTAAAATTAAATGATTTTGTTGTTGATCAGATGAATTTATTGGATTAATTAATGAAAATGATTGAAAATCAAGTTTAGATAAAATATATTTTATAAACATTTTGCATTCAATTGAGTTCCTAATATTAGAAAATATATATATTAGTTAAAGAGAAATACAAGATCGTAACGAAACGCTTCTAACATAACAGTGTTTTATCTAGTGGGTGGACAGCTCTCAGTCGAAAAAAGAAACACGGATAAAACACTGGTGAATAACTTACTCAGCATAAAAATGTACAATTAAATCTTCTTCAATAACATCATCTTCATTAACTAAATGAATAAGTACATGTTCAAAAATATTTCCTTGATTAACTCGTATATAAACATTTGGCAGACTAATAATATGTTTAAAACCTAGATTTATTAATAATTGTCGAAAATTTTCAATAAGATGGAATTTCGATGGTGATTGAATATTTACATCCAAACGAAATAATGTATTCATATAAATAAACGCTTGTCGATACATAAAATGACTCGCTAAAATGAACGGTATTTAATTTTAATAAATAAAAAAACTAAAATATTCAACAAACTTGATTCAACTTCTAATGCATTCATTTTTAATATTCGTTCATTATTTGAATTAAATAAATCTTCAATTGATATATGAATTGAATTAATATGAAAAAGTTTATTATTATCGTTAATTAATAAATAAAGTTCTATATCATTATCTCTATCTAATTCAATTGATGTTGTTAAAATTAATGTTCGAGATGAATTAGGATTTAAATTAAATATAATTTGTTCATTTAGTAATAATTGAAATGAAGATTTTAAATCAAATAATTTCATTTTATTCGTATGTTTATCAATACCAAATAGATGTATCGATGATAGGGTATTACTAAGTGATGAAATAAAAGCTTGTTAGGGTTAGAAATGCAGAACTCACGTATGTTCATCTGATGTCTGATCTTTCATTATTTCGAGAAGAAAACGTATTTTGTGGCAGTGAAACCGCGTCTCAGGTGCTATTGAGGGATGTGTCAACTAACCAACTTAAATTCAAAATCTAGGGTTACGTTTGTTTTCTGAAGGGTGGGTGATATATTAACCTGTCACTCGTATCTACTGTAGTGAAGATGAACCGGATGATTCGAACTTATACACACGATTTTCTTCGAGGATTTACGTGAGTTCCACAAATAAAGAAGAAGAAGAATAGAATTCTTACTTGCTAATATTTTTTATTGTTACATAGACGAATAAATTAGTTCGATAGATAAACCAATTTTTGTCAATTAATTGAAGAATTGAAGTTGTATTAGTTGAATTTTGAAGTAAAATATCTGATTGTGTCTGTAATTATTTTTTGAAAAAAGAAAAGAACTAAGAGAGAAATACATAAATTTATCTTACATGTTTATTAAGATCTGGAACATAATATTTATTACTGATTTTTCGAATATCATCTTCAATTTGTTTACAATGAAAATATCCTTCATTAACAATAAAATCTGCATTCTAAAAATAGAAATTTTTATATATGAAGAATTTAATTTTTTCGTACAATAATCTTTTTTCTAAGAATATCTTGAGCAAGAATAAGACTATTATGAATATCAATATCATCTGTTTCCATCGATAAATGTTTCATTTCAGTCTAAAAATAAAAACGAATTTTGTTTTTCTATTCCTATATAAAATTCAATAATCTTACACACATTATATTCACAATCAGATTCTTGTTGAAAAATATGTATCTGTGAAAAATCAGTTAACAAAAATGTATTAAAATCCAAATTATTTTTTAAAAATAATATTTGTTTCCATCCAATTTGTGTAAAATCATCCATAAGAATATAATCAGCTGTTTCATGTGTATTTAAAAATGATGTTAATGTAAAATTTTCATCATCATATTGAAATAACTCTATGGAATTATTATCTTGTTTTTTAACAAGAAATAATTGTTCATTTTCAATTGTATGATAATAAAGAATTGAATTCATCGAACTATTCATTGAAAGCTCATGAGTTATTGTCCCATTATGACAAGTAAGTATTCGATGATCTTTACTTAATAGTATAAGATCACCAAGAATTATACGAGTTTTTAATTGAAGTTTATGATTAATAATATATAGATCTTGAATATTATCAGTAAGAGAAATAGGGATAAATTTATTAGTATTAAATGAAACAAGTGGCGTAGATAAAGAAGTTGAACAACCGTAATAAACCTAAAAAAATATTTTAAGATAGATAACATGATAAATATAGAATAGGGGGGATGAAAATCGGTACAGATCGATAGCTATGGATGTGGGTTTGTGAGATCAATATGACAATCACAATCTTAATGTATCTATTTCAACTTTGTTTTTCTTTAGATAAAGCGTTATACTGATTATTCAGTTCTAACAGTTCTCGTTTAATCGGGTCGGCCGGTATAGTGCTCACTGATCGTCACCGTTGACTTAAAGATACACCCAAGAGTTATCGTACATATTGCTAGTATTAGATATAGATCATTTTTATGAGAATTTCGATTGAAAAAAAAGCGGAACTTTACTTTAATCAATTGTTCGCCTGTATCGGAATCAATTTCACTACCCATTAACCAATAGTAATTGTCTTTTAAATAACAATAAATATATGTTAATAATGAACATTGAATAAATTCTATATTTCTTTGACATTTTTGTTCATTATTATTAATTATGTAAAAACCATTTGAAGTTTTATCTTCATTAATAAATATACTCATATATCCATTTATTGAAAGAAATCTTATTGAACCATGAATTGTTAATGGTATTGATAATGTATAAAGTATATGACATAACCATGGACGTGGTTGTAATTGAAGAAACATTAAAATTGAACTATTTGATGTAATAAGGTGTAAAAGAACCAGAAGACCTTTATCAATTATATGTGAACCAACAATAATACACTTATTTGATTTCGTTATCGTTGATGGTATTAATGGCTTTTCAATGGCATTTATAAATCTTTCTGTATTACTATCATATCCATATATATCAATTTGAACATGACCATTAGCATTTATTTGAAATTGATGTATACAACCGGCATATGCCAATATATTCATCATGTATCTTTTTTCTTTAAGATAAAAAACCTAGAATATGTACAGTTTTATGTATAATTCTCATTTAATAAAATAAATTCTAACGTACATAGAAACATTATGTATCGTTAATAACTACTCCTGATTATATTCAGTAATAGATATCAAAAATTCTATTTGTAGGATCATACAATTTCTAGCAATCATCTATATACTAAAGTAGTTTGATGAAGTCGATTCGAACCCTAATAATACGGCGTCTTTTTTTTACACTTTGTAAGACCGCGAATGTGCTCTACAGACGAATTTATATATGGTCACGTGTCCCATCTAAAAATGGTTGTTTATTCCTTCTCCAAACCTTCGTCCATCATTGAAGTATTAAATTTAATACTAACGGGGGTTAGAAATGGCCCACTTAGCACTAAACATGAAAACAAAATCAAGTGGCCTTCTCTTTACTCAGCTATCTGTATAGGACAAATTGATATGAAAGTTAATATCTTCCCATGGTGTTGCTTAAATTGATTTGTCATAAGCAGAGAACATATTCAAAAGAAAAATAAGAAACGAACAAGTTACAATAATTTATTATTATTTTCTTTTTCTACAATTTTTAAATGATTCAGTTATTTTATAAAAGACAATGACATATATTTCAACAAACGTTCTAAGTAATCTATTGACAGAGAAATATTAGTAATATTACTACTAAAATAGCGAATGTGATACATGATTTTTTATTCGAGACAAAATAAGAGTTTTCTTTTCAGCTAAATTATTAGCATATCGTTATGTATAAAATGATGTTTTCATTTGTATGATAGTAGCTGCCATTCTATTAGTAAAAATAAAATCTGGAAAATATGAAGACTTTTGCTATTGGTTGTATTCCAGGATGAAAAATCTACATCCATATGTTTCTTATTTATTTAGTCTTTTTTTAAAAGTTGTTATAAAAGACAAATTCCATGATGTTTCAAACAAAACAAAACAAAAATGAAGAAATAACGGTTAGAAAGGTTTCCATCTATATGATTTGTTTTATTCTTCTTCTTCATCACGTTTTTTGAACATGTATGTTACAGCACATTTGCCACAATAATTACGATCATGATGTGCAGCCATGAATACACCGGCACCACATTGTTTTGATGGACATTCACGGCGTAAACGACGGATTTTACCAGTATCTTCAACCTAAAATTGAATATTATTGTTTATAATATATATAGAATTTCTTTTCATTATTTATACTTTATAATATTTAAGAACAGCCAATTTAACTTTTTTGTGTTTGTGTTTATTTTTCTTTGGTGTATTGTATGATTTCTTCTTTCGTTTTTTACCACCACCTTCGAGATCAAGTAAAACATAGAGTGTACTTTCCTCTTCAACATGACATTCATCGAGTGTTAATTCATCAGCTAATGAAATGCCACCTAATGTTAAACGTTGTTCATCAACTGGAATACCTAAAAGCAAGAAAAACAAAAAACAAAACATGATTATCATCGAAAAAATTAAAAACATACCTTCACGTTGTTCAACAAGTTCTTTAACATCATTGACTGTAACATCTGATTGAACATTGAATGTCAATGTTCGATCATCAAGTGTACGAACAAAGATCTGCATGGCTGTTTAAAATCAATTCAATCTGAAATAAGAAAAAAAAAGATTGACTTGTGTGGAAAAACATCCTAAGTGTGACTGTTAATTTTTGAGATAGATTAGTGGAAATTCAAATAACTAATTTCTCTTATTATTTCTATTCTAAAACTATATATATATTCTAGTCTTGTTTTATGGCTCGTGTTGGTTGTTTTAATTGATGATGTCGATAATTAGCATCAAGTTGACAAACAAAATCAATAATACCATTTGCAAATGTATCCATTATTAAATGAAATAAACATACTAATAATACATAAAATTTGATTTTAATAAATGAGAATATACAAAATGTCCAAAAGGCAATAAATAAGGTCCATAGAATAAATGCTAAGCGGCGTTTAAAACGCATTTTTGACTCAATTTGTTCGTTGTTAAAACGTTTTGATTGTATATCAAACTGATTATTTGTATAGAATCTAATAGACAAGAGAAAAACAAAATGAATTGATTTTATATTTTTTTTATTATTACTCTTTCAAACGATTTTCTTTTTGTTCCCAACAAACTTGAAGCCATTCACCAATTTCTTCATCTGTTTCAGGTAAGTCTTTTATATTATAACGTTTAACATGAAAATGAACTGTTTTCGGTATAGAACCTTTCAATAAATCAATTTCTGCTTCTGGAATGTTTCCTTCGTAACCTATGGTAATATCATCGACAGTATCGAGAATATCCGCTGAATAAAAAACAAATTATTTGTATATTTAATATTATTTTTCATTCAAACCTTCTCGCATTGTTTTTAGTAAATATTTAAATCCTGTTAGACGTGGATGAAGACAATAATTATATGCTTGATTGTAACTTGTTTGTTTTGAAGCATAATCGTTACTTTTTTTTTGTGACAATGATGTTAAATTTGTTCCTTCAGGAAAGATTAATAACTAAATTCAAATAAAATAAACGATATAGATGTGATGAATGACATAAAAAGTTAATGAGAAATAGTTCATCACTTTTTTGACTAACTGATTAAATTTTTGGGGTGGGTAAAAATAAGAAATAAATTTGTACATGTTATCTTGAACAATATTCATTATAAAAAATCGATATTGCTAGATTGAACATCTCGTTTTACTATGCCTATTCAATATATAGAACAAAAGCATAGATTAGCTTATTTCTAGATAGAAATCGAATAGAAAATAAAATGTATCTCTCTAATACATACTGGAAATGGTGACTGGCATGATCTATACTATCCACTAATATGTTTTCAAATAACTCTTTCTATTAAACAATCACACTATAGTTCATCACTTGTTAAAATAAGAAATAAATTTGTATATGTTCTCGGGAACAGCATTCAATATTAAAAATCGAATTTGTTTGATTGAACATATCTTTTCACTATGTCTATTCAATGTATAGAACAAAAGCATAGATTAGCTTATTTCTAGGTGAAAATCGAATAGAAAATAAAATCTTTTTTTCTAATACACGCGGAAGGTGGTAACTGATACAATTTATAATACCCACTAATATTTTTTGTTATGGTTTCATATAATTTCAAAAAAAACGATATAAGAACTTAATGGCAAATAACTCTCTCTATTAAATAATCACGCTATAGTTCATCATTTGTTAAAATAAGAAATAGATTTGTATATGTTCTCGGGAACAGCATTCAATATTAAAAAATCGAATTTGTTTGATTGAACATATCTCTTACTATATCTATTCGAAATATAGAACTAAACCATAGATTAGCTTATTTCTAGATGAAAATCGAATAGAAAATAAAATGTTTTTTTTCTAAAGACATGCTGAAGGTGGTGACTGATATGATTTATAGAATCCACTAATATTTTGTATTATTATTTCACGTAATTTCAAAAAGTAAGGAGATAGATGTGATAAACGATATAATAATTTAATGGGAAATAATTCTCTCTATTATACAGTCACACTATAGTTCATCACTTGTTAAAATAAAAACTAAATTTGTACATGTTATCTTGAACAATATTCATTATAAAAAAATCGATATTGCTAGATTGAACATCTCGTTTCACTATATCTATTCGATGTATAGAACAAAAGCATAGATTAGCTTCTTTCTAGACGAAAATCGAATAGAAGAAAAAAATATTTTGTTCGAATACATACTGAAAGTGGCTGCTGACATGATTTATAATATCCACTAATATTTTGTATTGTTGTTTGATCTTTCTCCCATACACGTTCGAGAAATAAATAAGCAGCATGTTGCATAGCCCATCCTAAAGATTTAAAATAAACTTGAAAAATTTTCGTTTCCTCATATAAGCTTAGTACCTGGACCAGGAATACGTTTAAGTTCAGCTTTAAGTACAATTTTCAGTTGTTCTAAAATTTCAAAACGACTATGTAACATCCAAATAAACATCCAATCAAGTCTTGTCCGATGATTTAATATAATTAATGAACGTTTTTTATCTTTTGTTAGATCATCACCAGTAACAATTATTTTAATTCCAAGTAAATCTTCCAAAAGGCACTAAAAAATTTACACAGAATTGTTATTTTTTTCATTAATCAAGAAAACAAAAAATGTTCATACAGTAACCATTAGAAGATAATAACCCATAGCAAACGAACACCAACGAAAGTAGAAACGCCGATTTAAAAATATTAATGGCACAGCAGGTGTTTGAGCAAAAACAAGGCCAAAAAAAGCACCGATTGCCATAATTAAATAAAAGATTAAGACTTTAATTGAATTAATTGAAGGAAACATTTTCATAAATTCAGATATATTTAACCATTATATTTAAAAAAAAATTTATATTTGTTTATAATACACCCTTATTTCATAATAAACTATAGTTTTCTAGTGGCCAATCATACGAAATTTTACTTTTTAATATTTCCTTCTTCGAGAATATATTTAAGAGAATTTTTCGAATTTTAATTCAATCTATTTTATATATTTTTATTTATTAATCAAGAAAATTATTTGTAAAAAATTTTAAAATTATTAATGCATTTAGAAGAATAAAAGAGGAGTTTATCTTTCATATGATTCGTTTGTAGAATAGACTAATCAAATGGTGTTTTGTAATACCACTGCTTTAATATCATTATAGTATTGATGACACGTGTTATTTCGCTAATTTTGTCTTATTATTTGAAATTTATTTGTAGTATGCGTTTCGTTCTTATTGTTCTATTTGCCTTGATCTATCGAATCGATGGACATGGTCAACATGGTGCCGGTGGTAATCAAGCACACGGTACTCAACCGCAAGGTAATCAACCGCATGTTAACCGAAAAATGGAAGATTATGTGCATGATATGGAGTAAATAATAATTTGATTTTGAAATAATTTTTTTCTATATCTATTTAGTCATATAAAACATGATCTCGAAGGACAAATCAATAAACCAAAAGAACAAATGACACCTGAAGAGCAAAATTTTTATTATTTTAAATTGCATGATACTAATAATGATAACCGTTTAGATGGTTTAGAGGTTGTTGCTGCTTTCGATCATGTGCATGAAGAAGAAACTAATAATAATAATAATGCAACACAAGGACAACAACCACCTACGCCCCATCAACGAATGGCTGATGAAGAACTTATACGTCTTGTTGATGATATACTTAAAGAAGAGGATCGTGATCGTGATGGATACATAAGTTATGAAGAATTTAAACAAGCTATTGAAGGCAACTCTCATTAATAAGAATAAATTAATTGTGGTTTTTTTGAAATTAATTAACCAAACATTCCTATCGACGAAAAAATTTTTATTTTATACAGTTAGTTAGAATATAAGAAACGTTTCTTTTTGTTTTTTTTAATTTATTGATGCTTTTTGTTTTGTCTTCATATTTCTCATATATGGTTTTGATCTGTTGTTTTTGTTATGTTTCGTTTTGACTTGTCAAATTTCATCTAAATCAAAACAACTAAATTTTGAAAAATAAAATCAAAATATATCGATGATTAATTATATGATTCATTTTATTTCAAATATAACGAACAAAAAAAACAAAGAACTGGAAATTAAGTTATCAATTAATAACTTTTTCTGTAGTGTAAATATACTAGAGGCGCCTGTGAAAAGGATTAGATTTCGAGGCAGTATAGAGAAAATTGGTTTATTATAACAAAAAGAAGTTCTTGAAGAAGTGAAAAAACCTCTGATAGTAATTGTATGATTGTTAAGTGTATGTATGTAAGAAGAAAGTTCCTGAAAAATCTTGTAAATTATAATATAAATGCTCATTAATTCATATATATATATTTCATTTTTCCATTCTATGACCAATCATATGAAAGTTTGTCTAGTATAATATAGATTGTTTGATAACATTAGTTTATCTTTTCGATAACATCTGTTTTTTTTAAATATCTTGTTCTTTGCCAGGCACATATAACAAAATTACACATTTGTATAAGGTATTCAATTTAAAGACGTACTTATGATTTATTTGAACTTAAATATTATTTTAATTCTTGGAATTCTATTGAGTTCATATGCTTTATCATATGTTCCACCACGTATTGAAATGAAACGTCTATCCAATGTACCAATTATATCATCATGGGATAATAATTCAGATTTTTTATATAATTATAATAGTGCCGTTATGCCAATAATAAATGATACAGATACAATTGCACTTCTAGTACGTGTACAAAATTTACGTAATGGATCAAAAAGTATTTATGATGTTGGACCAAGTAAAATAGCATTGAGTCGAAATATAGATAAGAATTATCTTAAATATACATATATCAGTCAACAAGATATAATTATTGATAACGATCGAGAATATCAATCAACTGGAGCTGAAGATCCACGTATTGTACTATTTAACAATACGTATTATTTGTAAGTTAATAAATAAAT